TCGTATGTTGGCCTTTATTTTCTCAATCAAAATGATTCAGTTTTTCAGATTCAGTATGTATATATTTTTTATTAGTTCAGGTCTCACATGGAAGGGTTACTTTAAATTAAAAAATGAATTACAAGCAAAGACTGTTGTGAAATGAGAGACCGGGCAGTACTGTTTCTCATAAAGAGATTTGGTATTTCAAAGAAGATATTAACTCATGCTATATTGCATTTTTTTCTCTGAAAATCTTACTGAAAACCTCATCTTCCTGTGATGAATGAATATAAATGGGCTCTTGAAATCTATTCTATTAAATATATTAAAAAAAAAAAAAAAAAAAAACAACCCAACCAACTAAACCGAAAGAAACAGGCAACCTGAAACAGAATTAAACCTGCAGACAAAATTTAGTCTGGTGACAAAACAAGGTAATCTTATTCCTTCTCTCACCTTTCGCAAACAGGATCAAATTCTAGTCATTAAAAATAGAGACAGAGCTTCTCCCCAAGCTTCTGTGTGTGAGATGAGTGACCAATTGGCAAGTAAAAACCTCACCAGAAATTACACACACAATTGAAATACAATTGATTTTTTTTTTTTTTTTTGGTAATGTTTGTAGTGCCACGTTATGAAGTCACAGTCTGAAATACATAATTCAGAAAAGAAAGGTTGCTGCTCGGTGATCTGGCTGTTTCTAACATGCAAAGTAGCTGTGGCAGTTATGTCCCTGTTATGTTCCTGCTGGAGGCTGCTGTCATTAGTGGAAAAACCCTGACACTTTATTAGGCAGTCATTTCGTAAAGAAATATTCATTATGCAAACCAGCATAAAAATGCCACAAGCAGAAGCCTCAGCTGGTGTCAACCGACAGCTTTGTTGGCTTTGCTGGGGCTGCGGCTGCCTCCTCCTGCTGAAAAATTTGCCCTGGATTCCAGTTTATAGCTACTCTGCTCCCATTCCCTGCAGAAGAAATAATTTAAAAGCATTCACTTGCTAAACCTTCTTAATTATTAAACATTAAACACATCTATCTATTCTTATCTCTAAGCTCAAACTTCTTACACCTACATGTTTTGTGTGATACTGATAAGAGATTACTTTTCTCTGTTGTTCAGCTGAGACTTTTGCATAATATTTTGACAGCTTTCATTTTCTCACCAGCTTAGGCTCTCATCTTTTATTCCATCCATGTAACAAGTCTTCTGCTGCAGAGCTGGGCACCACCCATGAACCTCTTCCCATCTAAATCTGCTGGCATCACATGGACAACATGATGTTGGTCCCTGATCCTTAGGGAAGGGTCCTGACAGCCTTGACCGCCCCTGCCAGCAGAGCTGCTCAGGAGGTAACGCTGACCGACAACGCAGGGGCCTCAGGCCAAATCCATGTGCTGTTTCTCCATCTCCTTTCAGACACATGGGATCCTCATCTTGTGAGAGCAAAACATGCTCTGAAAGGTGATGAGTTGGTGACAGCAGCAACTCTTGGGTGCACTTTAAAAAGAGGGATTTAAAAAAGACTTGGGCGCTCAGGATAGAGACAGTGCAGCGCTTGTCTTCACTTGTGACCCAACACATCTTATTGCACCAAGCTATTCTGATTTTTGAGACTTTGGTCCTTTCTTCTTTTCCACTGATAAAGCACAGTCCTGGCAAAGCCTTCAGACCAAGTCCTGAAGCTCAGTGATGAGCTCAAAAATGCTGCTGAGCTAAAAACGTGCTCTTCTCACCAGCTGGTGTCGCTTTCACCTTGGAGAATTCACCTGAGATCAAAATGTCACCCTTTGCTGAAGACGGCCTGAACGTTTGGGGCCTTTAAGTGACAACAAAATCTGAGCTAATCGGCTACAATCAAACCAAAACAACACTTCTTTTTTTTCCACACATCCCCAAACATGTGGAAATGGTATAGACTGTCATCCCCAAAGGGCTCAGGCTCTTGTAGTTGTTTGTGTTTTCTTTCATCTCCCCCGGTGCGCCTCACGGGTGCAGAAACGACTCGCACAGCCCCATTCTGCGGGATGTTCATCCAGGCGCAGCGCAGTCCCAAATGTGCCCTGAAGAGCTCAACCCTACACATTGTTTTGAGCCCGAGCTCCTTTCAGTGGGAGGGTGGCTTGGCTGCGATGTCTATGATGTGATCCCATGTTCGGGATCATGTGCCGTGTGTACCCCAGGGCACTCTCTTGGAGGGCTGTTACCCACTTTCTTCCTTAACCAACAACTGTGACTTCCCTCTGGTGGCCGACTGTTACTTCCAAATTCCAACGTTCGAAGATTGGGCTGCCTGTTTGCATGAAAAAATTAATTAGTTTTGGGAAAATAGCTATCAGCTTCCATTTGAAAAAAAAAGAAAAAAGTCATTGCATAATTTTAAGGGAACAGCAGAGGCTGTTCCCATATAGTATTCATTTATGATTCCTCTTTCTAGTGCTTCCTTGTGTGGTGTTTGTTTCTCGGGACTATTAGAGGGCCAAACAAAGGACACTTCTCCTCTCCTTATGGAACATCAAAATACTCTAGTCCAGGTCAGCTTTGTTCTCTATTCAAGCTGTCCTCTGACTAGGCTAGATTTTTTTTTCAATTAATTTCCCTCATTTTTCCTAATGATTCTCTGAAGAAGTTCTTCAAAAAATACTCCTACCAGTATTCCAAGGTGGAAGTCTCTATCCTGTAGGGAATCTCATTTACCAAATACTTTGCATGGTACCTTTTTATCTTCCTGCAGTTATCTAAAGAGCTTGGAAAACTCCCACTCTCTGCACTCTTACTACAGCAATACTAGTCAGATTAGCTAAGAGAAGGAGGTCTCTTTATGAGGCCTTGCTGTACACTTAAAGAAGGAAGCACTGTGCTTCCCAGCTATGATAGTGCCTTCCAACAGTCAGGAAACTAAAGCAACTGCCTTGTGTCTGTCCATCTACCTGAGTGCTTCGCTCACCCCAAACCTAACAACCTATGGCCATTTGCTAGTACATTTGATAGAAGGCTTAGAGATTAGTAAGCTTGTTAATGGCTCTGGAAACAGTAGCTGGATAGATGAAAAAATACCCTGTAGTATTACATGGCCGGAAAGACAAGGAAATATTAACTTATCACATTTTGTTTGTCAACAACCATTAGTTGGGTCTATGGGCAGGCAGGCGGTCGTGACCTCCTGCAGTCTCTCACACAGACAGGAGGGACGTTACTGCTTGGGAGGGTGAGCTCACTGATGGAAGCCAACAGAAAATAAGATTTTGACAGCTTTAATACTTTTTTTTTTTTTTTTAATGAGGAAAGTAGCCTTTGGCAAATGTCTTCCTTTTCTCCTTCCAGCCAGCTATCTAAATTGCCTCTTCTCAAATATGTAAAGGAAACATGAAATAGCCACTTGTTCTTTTCTTTTACCTGTCTCAATGGTTTCATTTCCATTTTCTCTTTGGAAAGATTGGAGAGTGGGTATTTATTCGCCTTTCTTTTATAACTAAAATGTAACAGGAGACCAGGCACAGCTGAACCTGATTTAGACTAGCAGCTTATATCCTCAGTTGATGTCATGGTTGCTTCAGCTGAGAAGGAAACAGATCTTTCAAACTTCTTTATTTTACCACAGCACCTCAGGGCACAGCAGAACAGGATGAAGAGCTGTCCAGGTCCTGCTGACAGGAACTATCTACTGCCCTCTCTCCTTCTGCAATTTGCAACATATGCAGCTCCATTATGTGCAAGCTGCCCTCAATTTTATCCTGCTGCTTTTCCCCAGAGGGCAGAGACAACACGGCCAAGTTCGCAGTTGGGCAAACTTCTCAAAACCCAAAACAAAGGCACCATTTTTTAGCTATTATGCATTTGTCCAGGTTTTGAAAACTTTACTGTCTCACCTACATTTCTGCACAGGAAACAACTCTGTGCTTTGTTGTTGTTGTTATCAAAAGCTGTGAGATTACAAGGGTCAACATTTGCTTGCTTACGATCATGGTGCATCACATCTACTGTCTGTCAAAGTCCCGTTGACCTGTATCTATCTTGACAGTTTGATCTAAAGTTTCCACCTTGTGTTTACAGAGAGCAAGGGAAAACATCACTCCCCTCGGGGATTAAAAGCCACGTCCACTTGTACTTGTGCTTCCTGGGAAGCATCATGCGGGGGTAGATTCCTACCAGTAGCACATTCAGTTATTTCTGTCTTCCTATGATGCCAGTCATCACTTCTGGAAACTCTCTGAAATGCCCTTTCCTAAGGTGGTAAATGAGAGGGAAAGATAGAGAGAGGGAGGGAGACAGAAATACACAACAAAGGACAGCTATTTTTTGAGAAATACTTGAAATTTCATGCTCTTCCTGCTTATTTCCTTCTTTAATTCTTCCTTCAGAGAAAAAAAAATGCTTTCAGGCTGTAGACTGTATTTTTTCATAGGCCTTGCCTTAAACACAGGTGAGATGATAGATTCTAAGTGAAGAGAATTTAGCTGACAAATCGCATGCCACTTTGCTGAACACAGAAACCACCTTTTCCAAGGAACAATATGAGAAGATTACAAGAAAAGAATTATGTTTAGGATATTCTCTTTAATTCCCTCAGATTTGTACAACCACTTCAGTGAGCATAAAACCAAAACCAAAAATAAATCACAAAAGGGAAAAATGCATTAATATTTAATAAATAAATGCATTAAGGAAAAATTATGCATTAATACACTTTGGGGAACAGTCACACACACAGAAGAAAAAGTAAGGTTTGTCTCAAAAATGATAACCATACAAAATCATTTATTCCAACAAAACTTTCAAACCCTCATTGCAGGAATCATCAGAACAGAAACAGTTGTATTTCATACATCCCAATCAGTGCATATTGCTGGAAAAATGATGAGAGAAGCTGGAATAGCCAGCTTCAATTACAGAGCTAGCTCGGGGAGCTGACACCAAGGCTTCGGAGAATACCCTGCATCCATGAATCATAGCCAAACACCATTTTTATTAAAATGTTATTTCCTGAAGTATTTCTATCTTGGAATCCGTACCTCTCTTTCAGTCTTCTGAGTAACTGCCCTCTTGCTCCAGCTGTTTCCTCTCAGACACAGAATGGACAACATATGAAAAGGGATTTTCTGGATTTTCTGTGCTGTGAAAGATGTTCCCCCACTTTATCCACTGATAAATGTGGATATTCTAAAACGAATGTTCTGAGTTTTGTATGTCAGGCAATTTCCTGATTCGGGATCCTACCTGAGGGATCCTGTTTTAGAAAATATACTCATACTTGCACTTACTCCCTCTTGCAGGTATGGAACATGTCCTCCCTCGTCCTCTCCTTGCTCCCTCCTTTGCTATTTTGACTATAACATTCATGGAAGAAAATGCAGACAGCACCTAATTTCAATGGGAAATGGTCAGAGACATTCACATTTCTCAAACGGCAGTAAGTGAAGATGCAACATTCTGCAAATAACTTAGTTACAATACATGAACTCCTGCAATATCATGGGAACGACTTCTGACAAGAGTTGTTTCATGTCTCTTTTCCACTTGTAATTCTTAATTATCTGGTGAATCAGATGTGATTTGTACTGTAAACAGAACAAGCAGTGAAATTTTAAAACCACATTTATTTTTAATACAAAATCTGTTGCACTATTACAGAAGTGAGCCTGTATGTTTACCCCCACATGCACAGATAATTCAGCATCTACAATTAAATAAGAGTAAAATTATACTTCTTTTACCAAAACCATTGGCAAATCTCATTAAGAAATATTTGCTTTGTGCTTTGTAATCAGTGTTTGCATTACCCTTTTCTTATTTTGGCTCCCATTAAGAAAACTCATCAATGGAAGGCTCAGAGGTGCAAAAAAAAACCCTTCTTACAGTTAACTTAGATGTGTAATAACTTCAGTTGTGCTTTACCTACAGTATATACATGAAAGCTGCAAGATGTACTACAGTCTAATGTAATGCATTGGTAAAAGCTCTGAATGATTTTATTAGGAATCCGCGGTAAGTAGGTAGAACAGTTCGACTATTTTGTTTTCACAGCAAAAAGAAAAAAATTATATATATATATTTAAGTAGATGCTTTAAAATACCATGCACACCACTGGCTATAGTACTTCTTACACAGTACAACATAAGCTTTCTTGTTTTGTTTGTAACATCTAGAAGCATAGAGCATCTACACTTTCAGTGTATTTACAAATTCAACAAAATATCTACATATAAAAAGCTTACTTAAAATTAAACTTGATGCAAGTTATGAAAAACCAATTTATTGGCAAATGAAACTGAGCATTCCTTCAACCATAGGTTGTTATAAAAAATTTATATTTGGAGGTAAACATTTGATTGATATAATAAGTGAGAAAATAAATTTCATAACTGATACCGGGAATCTCTTGCCACTAAACCATGTTAGCACTTGTCAGATTCCTTGAATTCTGAGGTTCCCAGTGGTAATGCTCACACTGCTGCTGGGGGTGGGTAATTCCAAAGCTGCCACGTTCATCTGGCCAGGATACAGAGGGAAATGCACTCTTGCTGCTATCGTCTTGCTGGTATAGGATTTTTTTAACATTTTATTTTGCAAGAGCTTATAATTTTGTTGTGTTAGTAAATAATTTAATTTTGACTTTTTTTTTTTAAACAAATCTTCTAAGGCCATGAAAACTTGTTGTGCTCTGTCTATAAAGTCAGTATTTTATTTTCAAGGCTAAAATAACATCTTTTTTGTGTAACAACACATTGAAAACATTCTTTTTTTTAGCACAACAGTTCCATAACACTTTTCTTTTACATTGTTACTGTATTTGGCAATGATCGTAGTCCACTAATCACAGTTTACTGCACCAACTGATTTAGTAGCAGAGTGCATTATGGAATGCATATTGTAAAAAGGCACTGAACGTATTTTGCCCTGTGTTTTCTGGAATATTTTCTCTCATTTTAAAGTTTTTCCTTCAGTGACTGTACAAATTCCAAACCGCATTGCAATGCGTGTCTTTCATGCCCTAAAATCAATCCAATGTATTTTGATGTAAAAATAGAACACTGTACTGCTGTCACACTTGGTAGATTAAAAAGGCTATAAAGTAATAGGAGCAAAGAGCAGATAATAGGGTCTCATTAAGCATCAGCAAATGCAAGTGTCATACTTAAATCATTTAGCAATTATATACTGTACATACTGTTCCTAACTGTCTTACAAAAAGACATATGATAGCTAGACATTAAGTCACCAATTTCACAACAATGTCCACAAAGACATTGAAGTTCTATATAATACTACTATAACACTCTGACAATGAAAACAGAATTCATATTCAGGGATTCAGCTGAGGACCGCATAACAAATTATCAGACCAGGTTTTGATAGTGTACACAAGATTATCCGTGAGCTGTGTAGCATTTTTTTCATGCATTATACTGTATTTTCAACAGGAAATAATATTATCAGTCGATTTTTTTTGTGTGTCAGTTCCTTAAAAAAAAAAAGAACACGAGAATACTCAAGTTTGGAACCAAATTGGAATTTCTTATTTTGATTTATAATAACATTCCACTTACTGTGTCATTACACGGTATAATTATATTGGCCTGCATATTCTTCTAGCACAAACCTCTTGTGGTGAGGAGCTGTTACCTGCATGTTCATATTACACGACGGGGATGTACAAGTGCTTTAAATACAACTGAAGATACTGCGACAAGGGATCAAGTTCTTTGATTACACAAACGAATTCATGGCATTTACAGGAGAAGGAGCCTCAGAACTTTCATTTCCTTCTGCAGGTTCTTTCTCTTTTTTACCGCTATATTGTCCAATAAAGGAGCCATCCTCATTGAACTGACCATTCACACCTTCGCCATAGTCAACTAAACTATCATCACTGTCTTCCTTTTTCACAGTTCTGTCTGAAGGTGTCCGGCTTCCTTTTTTTAGAGGTTTATGGTCCTCTGCATCACTGGAGACACGCACACATATGCATCCAAAAATAAAAAAGAAGAAGAAAAGGAAAGAATTAACGAATGTATTATTTATTTAGGCCAAATTAGCTATGCATGCGGTTTTAAAAAGCGTGTGCACAGCCCTGTAACCCTTTAGTAAACCCACATCACATTGTAGAGACAAATCGACAAATCAATATGATGCAGTTGACATGAACACATGGTGCAGTAATGGTTTAAACAGAGAAGATCTGCAGTGGAGGGAGGGGGTTTCGTGGTTTCTTTTATTTTATCGTGCATGATTTTTCAATGGTAACACTTGTGCTCTTGGCTCAGAAGCAATTTAGATGTAACTGCAAGCATTAAACAGTGGGTTGTAAAGTTACATAAAAAAATTACTTGTTCTTCAAAGAAATAGCTTATAATGTGCTGTGAAGTTAGTCTGTTAAACTTCTTAATTTCATTGACTCCTTGAACGTGAATGAAGAATGAATTCGGTTAAATGAAATACACTGTCTTTTTAACTAGTAAAAAGAAAATAAAAGTGCTGCATTTCAAATAATTTGTTATATAATGCAGGCCAGACTTGCAATTTTCAACCTTACCTTTCAAGAGACCTATATATTCCATTAAAAGGGTGCAGAAGAAACAAATGAAAATAGCCTAAGAAGAAAAGCAAAGTCCATATCCTGATAGTGATCAGTATTTTATGAAGTTGCTCTTCAAATGCTAAAACATTCACTGTGTCCAGGTAAAGCAACAGTTTAACTTATATTGTCTAGAAGCGAGTGGTTATGAGCATGCTTAGTCTGCAGGTAGGCACAACAAGATCCTTTACTCCATTTATCTTTCCTAGCTTCATTCTGATGGTACTTCTGCACTCATTATCACTTATCAGATCAGCCTTCCTACTCAAACCCTCCGCTGATAACATGTTCTGGCAGTGGGGAGGGTGATTTGGAAGACAACAGAAAAAGGAAAGATAGGTCAAACTATACAGCATATATACAAGATCATATAGATTAACGAATGTCCTATTGAGAATTTCCCATTTCAATAAAAATCATTACACCAGTTTCCCATTCAGCTGCTATTTTTGATTTTTTCATCATCTTTTTTTTTTGGCTTTGGAATATACTTAATTATTATATCCTGCAAAGATATATCTGTAATGTGGATATACTTAGACGCACACACAAAAATATATGGTACACTTACAAAAAAAAGTACAAAAAAATTTTATTTTTCTGTACAGATATAGGAAGAGAGAAATGCTAGAAATAAAATTGCATTTCCATCTAAGAAAATCTTCATGTCAAAATCAAAATATAAGGCAGACAAAACTCTAAACTTGACTATGAGCTTGACTTTGTTTTGGCAGCTGAGCATGTGGCACGAGGATAAATATTGTATCGTTGATCTTGTGCCTCCACTGGGGCTGTGAATGGACAGGGGATTAACTCCAACAGAAATTCCACTGCAGAGCAACAAGCCTCCAGAAGCAAAGCAAAAATGTCTGTAATGTGACAAACATAACCGTCGTACAAAATATTTTTAAAAGAGATCCTTTTGGAAGGACACTGCGTTTAATAGGCCAATGAGAAATTAGAGGATTTAAATATTCTCTAACTCTAAGTGTTCCTGTCAGACTGAAAGTATTTTGTCTGCTGTCTTCATGAGAGTGCATTACAGACATTAGAAAGAGGCTATACACATGAAATGAAGATCAGTCCCTCACTTTTTAATAGTTCTAGGTCCTACTTCCATAGGAAAATGAGCTGCAGTGTTCAATGCTTTTGGAATTATAGCACTTAGTAAAGAACATTGTACATATGATTTTTTGTTTTATTTAAAATATTTTTATAGCATAAGTAGGAAGGAAATAATTTGCATGTGCCTCACATTCTAAATTTACAGAAAAATGTGCAAATATTCTGAAGTGTGAGTCTATCCAGTGTTATTCAGTCAGCTGGAATAAGACATAAATAAAAGGTACATCATCACTGTCTTAAAAAAATTTACATTTTAGATATTAGAAAGTTGACAAAACACAAACAAATATTAAAAACAAAACAAAACTAGAGGTTAATTTCTAAGTTAGAGAAATCTGGATATAGAAACTTTTGCTTTGTTGCTCTTACAGTTTTCTTGTTTGTATTTTTTGTTTATGAGTATTTTGCATTTGTTTATAAATAAAATTTATAATCTAAACAATGAAGAAATACTTACACAGTTGGTTGCATTGCATCTGTGGGTTTTGTATATTTTGGTACGGATGCAGATTCTACTGTCTGCATAATTAAAATACAAACAAACTAAACTGCAGATTTACCCTGGAGTGCAGCTGCATGGACACAGTGACTGGTCTAAGTGACCACGTAGAGCCCTGGAAATATCGGATCTGAACCCTGGGAATCCCTCCATTTCTGAACATGAAAGTCCAGAAAAAAGTTCTGCCCGGAGTCTGGCAGTAAAAAGGGAAGTGGAACTACCCAGGGCAAGGTCGGTTCACTTGTTCGAAGAGAGGAAACGTGTGCCACAGCACCATGATTCTTCAGCTAAGGGACTAGGGCTGTGATTCTTGTATTAAATATGACTAAAGAATTTTGGATGGAAGTGAAAGAAAGCGAGGAAGGAAAAGGAAGAACAAACGGGAGAGAGATGGAAAGACAGAGGCAGAGGAAGTGAAGACAACAGTGTTTTGGACAGCAATTTTATAACTCTGGGAATACGGAGAAGGGTCCCTGGTGGTCAGGGAAAATAAATGGATTTTCTGTGTGCTGCCAAGAAGCAGTGTGAAAAAGTAGCTGTATTGTCTCATTGTGAATACTGAAGCCCAAAGAGCTATAAAATATTGGCTTTAGAGCATGCAATACACTGCAGAAACATGTTAAAGACAGAAGTTCTGATATACTGATATTCTGAAGCTTGCTAATCTTGTTTATGATCTTCTATAAAAGTGTGCCAAAATGCAGTAAGGATAGATCATAATTTCTTTTAGTTTTTCCTTGTGGTTTTGTTTGCTGTTAAACTTACCTAGTGCAGTATTTTGAAACAACAAATAAAGTACAAGTTGGATTGAATAAAATTACTGGAAAATTTAAATGTATGATATATGTCACATACACTGTGCATACAATAATAGTGAGACAATAAGTACTGGGAACAAAGCAGGGGGTGAGCATGTGTGAGCATGTGTGTGAACTCTGCACATACACGAGAGAGCCAGGAAAGCCGAGTCCAGTGCTACTTTTACTATTTGCTGTTGTACAAATACATTTCATACTCTTCAAGGGTGGCAGTTTCTTAGTGAAGACCCATACTTACAGATAACCAGGCCATGTAACTTGCCATTTTAGTAAAAACAGTGTGTTTAATTTTAAAGTATACTCTGACAGAATGATTTAATGTTGCTAGTTGCATACATATATGAATATGTATTTCTTTTTCTTCTTAGTTTCATGGAAGAAATAGCAAACTTGCAGCTAATGACTAGAAGGCATGATGAAGGTGATAATGACAAGCATAAAGTACAGACTTACTTTATAAAACAATACTTCTGTTTCACAGGCTTATGGAAAGAAATGTGTTACCTTCAAATCTCCTTTCTTCCTTCACCTTTTTAATTTTTCTTCCTTAGAAATGGGCACATGCAGCAACCAGTCAGAAAGGGGAAGACATTTTTACGGTGCCTCTGCAGTCCAGCAGGCAGCTAGTTCCCACTACACTTTGCCACATTAAGGGACATGCAAAACAACTCAATATATGGTTAGCAACACACTGCTTTTCCTTCTGACACAACTGTCGCTCAAAAGGTAACACAAAACAAAACCAGTGAAGCACCCTGAGCTCTTTCCCTAGATGTTTCACATATGTTTCTCTATGCATTACATCTCAATCCAGATTTGAGAGCTTTTTACTATTTCTTGTCTAGCCAAGATACACATGTATCTATTAGTTATTTTTCCAAGCAAATAGTCTTTAGGATCTCTGCATTAGTGATCTTCAGTCCTAGCAGAAGCTGTAAAATATGCAAAACTGAGCTCTTCCTCTAACTGGCAACAGGTTGAAAAATCTGTTAGTCCAAGAATCTGACTCTCTCCTTGTGAAAATTTTAAATTTTTATTTACTTGAGATAAAGTTAATCAAATTTTCCGCAGTTATTATGTCTTCTGGAGGGAAACCAAATAACATGAAATCAATGCAGTGACTCAAAAAAGAAGTTACACAGTCTTTGGAGAAATAAGTCGGGAACCACCACAGCAAGCTGGTGTGTGTGAACGAGAACAGAGCACGACTGCTGCTGAAGCCAGTCAGAGTACGGACGCGCAGGGATCGTGGGCAGCCTGCTGGCATCCCCTCTGGTGTTAGAAGCACTGTGCTCAGATGCAGGCTAGGGAGGGCACAAGTTACTGGCCCTCTGGAAACAACAGGCTGCAATAAAACTTGAAAAAAATACAGTAGAGAAAAAAACAGCTGCAGGCCATAAACTATCCTCATTGTTAAGCAGCCTACAGATGGGAGACTAGTTATATTCTTATCAATCAACCTCAAGGTTGTCTACTAACCACTTTCAGAAGGTGTCTTATAAAGTAACCAGACATTTCTTGGACAAAAATACTTTGTGCATCAAAACACTTGAGGCACAAGAATTCAATGACATGTGTCAATAGTCTGTGTAATAGTAGCAGTCCTGTCACTGTGGATGCCTTGTTCTGTTTGACCTTTCTGAGCACGTTTCACAGATTGGAAAAATAGGATGAAAATACATAGATATCATGAAATAAAGGATGTGAAAATTTGAACATAAATTTCCCATAAATTTGAACAAATTCATTTTTGTACTCTCTCCCAGTTTTCAAATCCAAAGGCCTGAAGATGTTGTAACTCATTAACTTCTCTTGATTCATGGCCCAGGACAGAAATTATGTAGGCTGATTTAATATAGGTGGGCCTGTGCTGACCTGAACAAGAGCTCTGTGTCTTTGTTTATTTTTTCTTTAAACAAATATTCAAATAAGGTATTTTGTGCAGTGTCTTGCTGTTCACAGTTAACTGAATCAGTCTTCTAAAATTCAAAACTATCAGGACTGCAATGCAATTCCTTTGCTATAAAATGGACTTCCAGAGGCACTGGAAGTGCCTCTTCCAGTCTTATTATGTGATGACCCAATGACATCCCCAGCCACAGGGGGACGGTGTATCCAGTTATGCTGTGGTCCTCAAAACAACTGGATTTTCTAGAGCATTACCTAGAGCATTAGGCTGATATGGCTGAAAAACCACATGGTGGTGGGTGTTGCAGGAAGGCTGCTCATAGGTAAAGAAACAGTTGAAAAGTGAAAAAATTCAAATAAGTCCAGACTGTCTCAAGAATACCAGGAAGATTAGCAACTGAGTGAGACAAAAACTCAAACTAAATCTGAGAGCTATGACTTCTCCAGAGAATATTAATTAGTGGCAAAATTATTGAAAGTTTACTTTGAAACAACTAATCTCCTAAGCATTGGGCTTACTTGTCCAGAAATACTGATGCCCATTCATCATAAATTTCTGAATCTTCCACTTTTACCAGTTCCTGAGAAAAAAAGGCACTTGCGTCTATATTGTCAGAAAGCTGCTCTTGATGGCTCTGATGTCTCTCTGTAAATGAGATGTTCTCTTGTAGCTGGTGTGAAAGGACTGTGAGACCTTATACTTTCCCTTCCCTCCTTTAAACTTAGGAGAAGAACGGGAAGAGCTCAGACAGCTGTGAGGATATGAAAACCAAGAGCTTTCAAGAGATCTTTTTTTCCTCTGCTGGGGGAAGGAATGCTTGTTTTCTGAAAAATCCTTCATGAGTTTTACCACGGATTCACCAAACAGTTTGCCACCTGTATATGGTAACGACAGCAGTCGACATTTCAGATCTAGCGACGAGGTCCAAGGCCGCAGCCATACAGCTCTCCAGGCTACTGTGAGGCAGGCTATATTTTTAAGTGTGAGTCTGAGAGAATCCTCAGCTGCATCATGGATGAAATTAGCTGTCATTTTACATAGCCTATGTGTCCTCTGCCTGGGAGTGGATTGGATATATTTCTTTTTGACTCTATCTTGTTCTTTCTTCAGCCATACTAGCAAGGCTTTTGAAGCGTAGGTACAGTAGATGGATACTCCAAGTTGGGCTGCAGCTAGCTTGAAAGATCTTCTGATGGCTTCCTCCACCTTTCTGTCAGTGGGATCTTTAGGCAGAGCATCCATTTTAGCAGGTACTGCATCCCCAGTGAGCACTGCCCTGTCTACCTCAGGCAAGGCCCCCCACAGAGCAGCTTTATCTGCTGGAAGAGGATACACCTGACCTAAGACTGCTGGGGCTTCGTGCTTTGCCTCAGGATTACTCCAAATCCTACGGACAAGATTTTCCAGTGCTGAATGGATAGGAAGGGCGTTATCTACCTTGCCTTCTTCAGAGGGGGTAGGCAGTTCTTCTGAAGAGCATTCAGATTTGGAAGATTTTAACACTAGCACTCTCTTAATGTGCTTGAACAGATAATTCTGATCCTCCATGTCAAACTTACGCACAGGGTCCGGTTCCCCTTGCTCTTCTGCAGAGGACTGAGATGACACCTCTACATCTTCAGGGGATGACTCATCCTCCAAGATCTCGTCAGCTTTATATCTCTCCTTACTAGAAGCTGTTTGCTCTTTTAAGCTGTCCACATAGTCAGATTCAAAAGCATGGAAATTGCTCCCAGTTGCTTCTAGGGGAACCACAGGAACTTCTGTAATTGGCACCCTGGGATGCTTTATTGAATGCGAGCTAGTCTGGGCCACAGCAGTTAAACTTTGTTTGGCTGCTGTCAGTGCATCCTTTAACACAGTAGCCAACTCAGGCAATATTATAGATCTCACTAATGTATTTTTTTCAGCTTCAGAGAAATGAGCAGCTGTAGGAGGTCTTACCTTCTTGTCGTACGAGTTTTGAGAGTCTTCTGAATCTGAGCTGTGGTCTAGGGTCTGGGTGAAGCACTGCTGGGGAGAATGCTGTCTTGCCAGGGAGCCACCAACTGAGCTGCTGCTGGGCCGCTGATGGAAAGGGGGAGCTTGTCCTCCCTGAGAACCTGAGCCCTCCTCCGACCCCATTAGCTGTTGCTTGCAAGCATGATGTCTAGAGCCATGCCTGCACTGCCATTCTTCTGACCTCTTTTCCTCTTGGCAGAGGGAAGCAGGGACAGAACTAACCCTGGTAAGCTCTGAGGACTGCCTAGCCCTCCTCCTGGAGAAGGAGGTCTCTGATCTGGTGCTGGAGTATTGATCCCCTGACCTTCTGAAGAAGTTGCATCTGTCAGATCTCACAGAAATTGCTTTGGCAAAGACAGAGTCTGCTTCAGGAGATTTGGCACAGCTACCTTGTCTTTTCTTTTCCTTGTCCATTTTCTTTACTGTCCAAGTAGACATGGACCTGAAGTGATGAAAAAAGTTCAAAATACTCGAATTCCTGGACCTTTCAAAAATCACTTACTTTTTTTTTTGTTTTAAGACTGTTTAAGACTAAATTGTTTTTTTTCTCAAAGAAGCACTGCACTGTGACCAATGCCAAATGAGACAGACAAACTGGGAACTGAGTGACTGCAGTGATGTTGGGCTGCAGAGGGTGCCAAGATATCTTCGTAATCTGACTGGTTGCTGCTGCTGCCCTGTCTCTAAGGAAAAAAGAGGAAAGCCCGATAGAGTCTAATTAAACAGAAAAATATGTAGAAAGGAGTTTTTGCATGGTAAATAGGATGAGCTTCTTCACATGAATAACTCTGAAAACTATGCATGCAACTGTCCATATTCACCAGACAAAAGGTTGATAAATAGACTATAAAATCATGCAATGAAGCTACAGATGGTTCTATAAATTAACTGAGGCCATTCAAAGATGGAGGCATACATCTAAATTTTGCTACACATGAAAACAGACTTAATAGTCTTAACATATGCCTGAACATCCAAGGCCCCAGATTTGTACCATTCTGTATGAGGATCTGTTTCAGCTAATCAAAGCTCCAGATTCAGAAAGGCAGAGGAGCTATAAAGCAGAATGCAAACTAGACTCTCTAGGCCAACTTATATAATACTATACTATACTATACTACATCCAAACACTGCTTCATAACTCTTTCTATCAGATAAATTTAATTAACTCATATAACTTAAAATAAATGCTGTAATTCACTATTCTGAACAACAGATTAGAGGTTTTTTTTTTTTTTTTTTTTTTGGAATTAAGTTAGAATTAAAAGAAACTGCTCTCTGGCATTCAGAATTGTGAGCCTCTTCCAGTCAGATTAAGATGCCCATTTGCCTTATATAAAAAAAATCACAACAACAGAATGAATCCACCTCAAAAAAAAATATTCTATGCATTTTTGTAAATTTTTCAGCTACAAAACAAAGAAGGCCTTTACATTTTTTTGAGAAAGGAAAATACAGTAAAATGTACTGAAATGCCTAAAGCATTGAAATATTTAGAAAATCGTAACATTGTTTCCTGACCTAATCAAACACACCAAATAATATCCTGCTTTTTTAATGAACAACCCCACCCATACTTGTGATAGGAACAGAGTTGCCAAAGCATGCCTTCTGTGCTGCAAGGAGACTCATTTTATATATATGTAGGATAAAGGAAGACAATCAAGAATAAAAGCTGTGTGGCATGCTTTGAAGCAGCTTGCTGTACTTCTTGTACAGAAATAGATGAAACAGAGATTTGTTTTTCTTTTAGGACATTCTCTCACCTCTACATTTAACATCTCTTTTATTAGTTAAGTGTTAGTATTGTCAGCCATATTAAATTAGCTTATTTTCCTGGCAGTGGAACACCATGTTGTCTTAAGTTTGTAGAAGAAATGTATTTTCAGAAAGAAGTATTTTCAAAAATAGAATGCAATTATGTGCTGTAACTGAAGGACTGCAAGCATGCAGTGCCTGAAAAGCACATGGTAGCTGATACTTTAATTATCTGAAAGATGGACTTGAAAACAAAGTCCTCACTTTCAGACACTTTGGGTTGAATTTGGACTTCAACTTGCCTCAGTGGACAATCCCTAGCTTACATTCTAAGCTCTCGTTTCACAAATCTTTAACATATATTTAGTTCTATAAAACACTGGATACAGAATATTTGTCAGAGTGAATGTTACAGTTTTGAATTAATAAGTGAGATATTATATGAAGTACATGTGTGATATGAGTAGTGATCATGATAAATCATATTAGCCACTCACCTGTATTCACCAAATGTTCCATCATCTTCCTTCATAGGTTGTATTTCTGGATCAGCATGGGCATCCTCTTTTTCCTTCACTAAAGTATTTGAAATGAGATTTTTTATCATTAAATTGGGAGACTAGAAACGGTAAGATACTCATTTCACATACTCATCCCATTTGGCACAGAAACATATCTGAATAAAAACTGTTCTCTGAATAGAGATCTTAGGCTGCTCCCTTTTTTTTTTTTTTTTAAAGAAACATTCTCTTACTTATACATAGAATTTTACCTTTACTCAAGTAGAAAATATTGTATGTCATTCAGCATTAGTAAAGCTTCATTTCTAGCATTAGTGAGTTTTCTGTCAAAAACCTATTAAAATACTTGCTCTTTTACTATTAAAAGAATTATTTTCTATTGCAATCTGAATAATTTTGTTTTACTTATCCATACTCCTTATTCACTCTCAATTTTCCTCTCATAGTGATAGATAAAACTGAATCAGTCACATATGTTCACAATCTGTAGCCACTCTCCTTTCATGTTGTGCACTGACTTTGTAGTAAAGGTTCTCTAATAAACATTTCAGAGGAATATTAAAGGATGTTTTTAAAAGTTATTAAACTTTAGAAAAAAATCTTTCAGTCTATTCATTTCTTCTTTTATGCAACATGATTAAAAGAAAAACAGAAATGCCTACATAAGACCTAAATTTAACCTAATTGCATATATGTTGCAGTATTTGCAATTAAATGCATCCTCCTTATAAGTTTAACAATCTTGTAATTACTCACTGACAAGAGTTCATGCAATTCTTCCTAAGAAAAGCTATGCAATGCTGTCTTTTGACACTGAAATCCACTGGTATTTTAGAAGGCAGTTGTTTATACAAAACAGTTGTTTAAACAAAAAAAAAATACAAATAAATAAATTTGGACTGTTGATCAGAGTATAATAATATATTGACTTCTAGAATTATTTTTAATAGTTTTCCCCTATGCCTCTTCATTTTTGTTTATCTGGTCATTGTCCAAATGCTTTCCTTGTTTAGTAGATAGCTATATCCAACATACAATCACATATTCTGACAATTTACACACTTAACTTGTACATCACTAGTTTACATGTTATTTAAGATGATATGAATAATTCCCGACAGTATTTTTTAAGTGTAAAATTATGACAATGCATAACACCTTGAAATGTATCTGGCTGCTATAATTTGATAATGAAATACCTTTTTTTTTAACCACAGGCAAGTTCAAGATGATATGCCAAAATTAAGAAAGAAAAAAAAATCCTTAATAACTATGCTTTGCATTTGTCAGTTCCTCTGTGGAACAGGACATCTGCAATAACCCCAGAAACATAATTATTGGTAGAGTCACTGGTACAAACTTCTACAGCAAATGTAACTTCTCCAATAAAACTGAGATCTGTCCTATTAGCATTACCAGCATTTTTTTACTCCTATTATTATATATCATACCTGGATATTTGCCACCTTTATTCCTCCTTATGAAGCAAACAATCAGTAAAATCAAGATAAGAAGAGCCACAGCACACATAAGACCAATGAACCATCCTTGAGTAGCGATGTCTACCTGCCGGCTTGCCATTGCTGCAGAGTAAAACAAACATATGAGGCTTTTTGCTGCATTTAAATGCTACCGGAATTCATATAAAAGCCATATTCTTTGTTGATTAGGTACATAAGATAACACTCACTCTATAAAACAGTAATAAGAAAAAATATGAGACTACATTTTGTATTTCCATTATTTAAAATGTTTGCAAGTACGAATACATAGAACTGCCTTTTGAATATGTAAGCATTCTGCAAACTTAGTTCAGCATTTAGGCTTAGTGACTCTATTATTTTGCAACATATGCACATCCTACATTGCTTTTCACAAATCTAAAAATTCTTCTGAATCATTTTACACTGATTAAGCTACCAAAATGAAATTGCAAATCATAATTAATACAAACATTCAGATTGCAGTCTCAAAATAAATAAAACGCATTAGCTAATGCACACGCATTAGCCTGAAACAGGGCAACAGATGGGTCATCCCAGACCTTAACATTCAATCTCTAACAATCAACAACAAAGCATCCTTTAAAGCCTTATTAAGCATTATGGTTTTGTCTTCTCCCCAAGCTCCTATCTCATCCTACAATTTTCATGATTGCCATGACTCAGCAGTACTGTAGGATTTAGCACAGGGTGACGGGGAAGCCCTTCAATGACATTCCTATGTCCCTGTCTTGACACTTGCTTGAAGATAGTGCAAGTGAGAAGCAAACTACAGAGGAAACACCATAGTCTTTAACAAGGGCAGGAATTGTATCTGTGTGGTTTGGGGGCCAGAACCTCCCTATTAGTCTCCAAGACAGGTAGATTTTCCTGGTGAAGCCTATTGATATTCTCCTATTTGGAAACACATTGACACTACTGACACCTGACCTCAGGATTTGCTGTTGAGATAAAATCAGAAGGGTGATAGGAGTGCAAGCGATAGAAGACATGAAACGGGAGGAAGATGGACATCCCTCCAACCTTATCTGTTTATTCTTTACTTGGGACTCCAGCCCCAAAGCTCCTATGAGGAGTTGCCCAATAGAGGTCTCTCTAGATGCAAAGTTAGAGACAAAGACTCTCTTTCAATGTAACTATGGAAAATCAATGCAAAAGGCTCTCTACGCACAGCTCATGTGGCACTCTGGTTCTGCATTTCTTTTTTTTCTGGCTTCATGTGATAAAGCAAGGCGGATCTCTGTCAGTAAATTGCCCAGAATTTTATTAAGGACTCAAAGTACTTCAGGTATCATCTTGGTGGACACCCTGCACTGCAGTGAGTTACACTTGACACCCTGAGTCAGTGTCTTTGTTGGTGTCTGTGAGTACGTCAGCTCTTACTGCAGACCGTGTTTGTAGGGAAGGTCTCTGGGCCTGTTTCCACTCAAGTGGTGGAGACAACAAATATTTACCTGCATTTGCATGAGGGTCCCAGAGCCCCATAGAGATTTTTACCTCTCCTTACTGCAGATAAATCTCTAAGTGAAGGCTCATGGGCACATGACACAGAGAAGCTATTTTCAATGGATCAGTGACTGTTTCCTAGCCCCAAGTCCTGGTGATGTGGCACGAACTCCAGTCCCCTTCCAAAACCTGGGGAATGACTATTGGGAAGAGGCCCTGTCTGGGGCTGTCCCTTGACTACCTGGGCCTTGCTTGGCAGCCAGCTGATGGGCACAGGGTTGGCAAGCACACTAACAAAAAAATACAGCAATATTCTGGGCTGAATTTAAACTCCTGCCTCAGTCTCACTTTATTTATCAGTAAACGTAGAGCCTGAGAGCGAACTAGCTTGGAAACATGGGCTCTGCATGGTCCTAAATTCCTGAGGATTTTCCATGGGATGCCTAAAAACTAAAAGTACGTATAACATTTGGAGGTAGTCTCTATTCCTATTCCTCATGGAAAAACAATGTTTATTCAATAGCAGTACTGGTCTGAAGTTAACTTTCCTGCCTATTTTTGATTTTACTGTGCAGATGCATAATTTGATTTACAGTTAAATAGCTAATAAACTAATGTGTTTGGTTATTTTAGGGTAACATTTAGGAGATTTCGCAGCCTTTCGCAAGCAGAGCATGCTTTCTGATATTTAAGAAACTGATTCTTACGTATCTGTCCATTTAAACCCTTTTTACATAGATACAAGTTTTTTAATATGTGTGTATATATAAAGGCAATCATATAAAAATCACAAAGGCAATCTTCTTCTGAACTAAACAACAAGTTAATAACTTTTAAAGTTAAAATTATTCTGATTTTGGCAAATGTGTGTTTATAATAAGGCATTAAAGGTTGTATAATAAATACCGTACTGAGACATAAAAGCACATTCAACATTCAAATGCAGTAAGAAGTAGCACTGAGCACAACAACCATGCATAAAAATAAGCAAAATAGATGGGAAGGAGTAAAGATGAAAACTTATGCAGCTTTCTGTATTCTTTAATTTATCGCATATACAGTAGCAAATGGTTTCTACAGTCTATAGAATCCCAGTGCTGCTTCACAAATAGATCTTTTTTTCTTACTCTAAACAAATTATCTGCTTCAGGCAGAAAGACATTTAGTTTTGGTGAACCCAGAAGCTGCTAATGCAGGAGTCAATGCAATAAATTATGCTGCTATGCTCAAAAATAAAACCACATACTATGAAGATGCTCTACAGGAATGCTTGCCAAAGGAAAAAGAATGCAATAAAAGCCTCATATACTAAATATTGTAGTTTTCTTCCTTATCAGAATTCCTTCCTAACTGAAATACGGATACACGTCGTATGCCAGCATTTTGCTCTTTTGTCCATTTTATTTTTTTCCCAATTCTTTTTGTGGAATTTTTGTGGAATACTCTCTCTATATATGACTAGGGTGGAAATCACAGCAGTGTGCTTTCCCCGAAGCTTTCCCTGATCAAGATCAGAAACACTATCTTTAAACTCCCTTCCTCAACCGTTCCAAGATATTAGACAAGGCAACTGGCTTATTTAGAGGAGTGCTTATCTTCAGACTTGGTATTTCTTGTTCAACCAGATGATTCTGGGAAGGTTTCCATTCTGCTTGGTCTGAACTTACACTACAGTCATCTTCGTTTACTTGCTGCTGCTTTGGCTGTATATTTGCACCAGGTTTTATGTATCTTCATTTCTACCATTAGCTGCCCTACACACAAACAACTTCTGTATTTAGCCCAGAGTTTGGCACTATTATTTGATACCAGATTTTCAACGCTTTCCTATAGCAACATGATATACTGTGAACAGAAATGGAATAAAGCAAAGCAAAAAGTATGATTTTAGAAAGCATTCAGTCTGATATATTCATTATTTTTCATCATTATTGTTGCCTGGAAATTATTTCATATTGTTCAGGCACATTTTCATAATTGAACAACTTTCTTAAATCATAACATTCTGGGTGTATTTGGTGAGGCTACTGCTAAATAACTACGCATGGGCCAAAAATGCTTGAAATGGTAAGTGGCTAGCAAGTACACAACAAATGGCAACAGCTAATCAAGAGCATGCTGTGTTGGCAACAACATATTCAGCATAACATCAAGAAACTTCCAATAAAGGCCTTTCTTCAACAAACAAACATCACGACTTTACTTAGGAAGACATGACTGCTGCAGCCTTTCTTTCAATGACTGTTGAATTACTTTTCTTCAGAAACTATACATAAGGAACTTAAATCAGTCTTTCTGATTCACAGAAGGCTGTTTATGAAACAAAAATTTACGTTAAACCCGTATATGTCAGGAAAAAATGCATTTATAACTAGCAATCCCTTTACAGTATTTTACAAAGATAACATAAAACATAAAATTGAATGCACTTCTGATGACACAAATTTTAGATTAGATTTTTCTATCATTTAAATACAGCAGTCTAATTATATTAATTAAAAATACATTAAAAGTGCAAGTAAATGAAATAATTTATCTCCAGTGCAGAGCACACAGATAGACTGTGAGCAGAGAGCATCCCACTCCTCCTATGAGTAACAGACAAGCAGAGCAAGTCTAAAGGATGAAAACATTCTTAACCTCGGTAACGAATGTGCTGGCATTTCTAGCAAACCATTGAATAGCTGAACATTGCTCTAATAAAAGAACATACACAGGCGTTAGCTACAACGTCTCTTTGCTAGCACTAGTTCAGTACGGCAGCGCTTGCTCGACCACAGCTCCGACTAGGACACAGAGTTGCCTCACCTGGACCTGTCTCAAACACATCCTCTGAACTCTTAAAACCAGACAGGCCCTCAGCACCAACCCGGACTTTATACGCTGTTCCTGGTGTTAAACCCTTTAACACAAAGAAGCTCCGAGAACCATTTACAATTTCTTTTTTCCAATCTTCTTTGCCTACAAAAATTTTAGGAAAACAACATATTGGAATTTTAATTTTCTATGTATTACTGAATGCATCTAGACAAGATACTATCAAGAGTTAGTTGACTAAACTATTAATTGTCTGAAAAAAGTAACTAATCTTTCAAAAATAAAATCTTATAAAATTACATCACTGAATAATATATTGCATGCAATATCAAAAAGACATCGTACATGAATTATAAGAACTATTTTAAACATTTGTTCCATTGTACTATGGAAATACTATTTTAATTTATTTTCATTAAAGCCTTATTTAATTTTCAATTATAGTAAACATGAAAATAGATTTTAATTGCTTAATTAGATAGTATTTATTCATTATTAGGTAGAGTCAATATTTATTTTGGTTGATAGGTTCTGCTTCAAAATCTGAACATATCCCATTTCCTCAACATTGTATTGTCTCTTTTTCTGATAAAGTCTCGGATTCTTCTTTGAACAATCAAGAAAAAAAAGTATTTATATTCCAATTCTCAGACTGATCATCTTGAATCATGATTTTAGAAGGATGGTGTATTTGAGTAGAAGCATCTTGATTTTATTAACTAACCTTTTATGTTTTAATGATTAGTAGGAAGAAAATAAAAAAAAGGTATTATCAAAAATTGAAAACTATATTTTTACTTCAATAAAAGTATGCAAGTTAGTTTATTTTTTAATTTAACTTGGTAATTGTTTCAATTTGCTTTTTTTTTACTGAATTGGACATAATTTAAGAGAATAATTATATCCTGTTTTATTAATAATTATTCATGTTTTCATAATTGTAATCAATCACTGAATAATAAACAACTTAAAACAATTTGTGTTTTTAGAAGTTCATGTTCAAAATAATTGAAACAATAATACAAAGGAACAAAGACTGACTTTCTATCTAGGCATTGGATAGCTGCTACACATTGATGTTTATTATAAAGAAAATTATTTGTATCTATCAATAAAGTTAAAAAAAAAGTCACAAATACTGGAACAATTTAGGACCACATTTACCACTAAAATATTGGAAAATATTTCTGAACACTTAGAATAATTTAATGAAATGACTTCTTACTGCCTGCTACACCATATTCAATATAAAAGTTCGCATGATCTGGTCCCTCATACTCCCAACTGATATTGGCATAGGTCTCAGCAGCAGCTGTTGTAACATTCCTGATCCTTGGATAAAGTGGTTGCACTGAATACACAATAGAGAAACAAAGCAGAATATGAAATTGTGACTCTGTGTATATATATATATGTATAAAACTACCATGCTAATAGTCAGGGAAAGTATAGTATATTCATCATTATTGTTTCTGTTTTGTTAAATTAGTGAGTAAATTAGCATATATGGTAATGGAATCATAAACAGTTACTATACTATGATATTAGAAAGTAGAATCTCTGTAGCGTACTGAGCATGCCCTAATTCACCAGAATTGCCAAATATCTAAAAAAACCTAATTGCCAAAATTCTAGAAAACATTATTTTCATACATCTCAAAGCAAAATACACACAGCTGAAAACATTCTTAGGGTAATAGCAAATGGTAGGAGACAACGGAGGTAAAAGGAGGTACAGTCCTCCCTTTATTCCAAGGGCCTGAAGGGACTGCAAAGCTCTCAACTGCAAGTCCTTTATAGGATTTTGTCCCTACTATATTGGTAATGATAAAAAAGGAAGACAATACCCTTATAGAATGTTGGACGGACAATATGCATGACTGGGGAGGTTGCAAAAAGGGTTTCTGAATATCCTTCATCATCAGAGACAGTAGGAAAGAAAAAATAAAGAATAAAAACACTTTACATTGGAAAGTAACATTTAAACAACACAGTAAAACCTTACCTGTTAAGTGGATAACACATGCACACTCTAAGTTCATGCAGGAATCAATCAGTTTTACGTGCTCAGATAGGAAATGGCTAAATGATACACGTCTACTTGCAAATGAACTGCATTTTGTGTGCAATATCACAGAACAGCCCCGAAACTTGCTTCATTAACCCCAGGGATTCACTGCACCATAAGCATTCTGCTGCCCATCTGCGGCTCCCTCAAAGCCAAGATATCAAATGCTCTCCTTTAATGTTTTACTTCTCACATGGAAATCATAAACCACTTTGAAGAGCAAGTGCTCTTTGGGTAGACACCATATTCAGAGGAGGAACGGGTCAGTTAGCCATAGAATTTTATTTCTTGGCTCCAGAAAATTAATTAAAATGGGGTAACTCTAAAACTAATTAGTAACAGGGTTACTAATGTTACGAATCTTTGTGTGGTAAGAATTTTTTCTCTTTCTTTCAAATCTCCATTTATTCCAGAGATTATTTTTAGTGCTCAGGCTTCAGTATCTGCAGCAAATATAAGAATATTAACTCAAAACCCAGTCTAGCATGGAAATTGAGAAAACGATGATAAGCCTAGAACACTTTTTATTTACTATTGATGTTTTTCCAGTAACATAAACTTTAAATATAGAATTATTGACCCAGGATTTTCAAGGGTCACTTTTACTCATACTTATTTTGTGTTTCCATACAGTTCAGATATAAAAAAAAGGCCTTGTGATTGATCGGAGTGATGCCACTGAGAAAACACTAGCATTTTAAAAGTTGTATTTTAAAGACTGGAATTCTCAGCTAAGAGTGTTTAAATCTTCTCTCAGAAAGAAAGAATATTAAGCACCTGCTAATTAAATTAGGCTACGAAAAACTGATCTGAGTGTCAGAAACCTCGGGCACATATAACTACACCGCTGATGTAACTGATGATTAAAGAAACAAAACAATTTTTTGAGTTATGACAAGGAAAAAAGCTAATAAAAATACTAAAATTAATTTTACATAGATTAAGTTTGTGATGATCCTGTTTCATCTTGCTGATGAAAGTTTATCTTAAAAAACAGTAGTGGTAAAAGATTTGGAAAGCTGGTGTTCTGACTTAGAAGATGCAAACCACATGAATGTATAAGGCTCTGTATTTTAAGGTAGTGTGCCATTAACGTTTTCTTTCAACAGCAGTATTTTACATAAAGAGGCACAATGCTCGTATCTCCCAACAGCCTAATATTGCTGAAAATAGACTTTAGTAGTCCAGTGCACATACAAAGGGGATATTCCTCAAAGAACAAGGCATGTTATTTTTAATGGAAGTGCCTCATTACTGTAACACTGCATCACAGCAGAACAGTGAGACTGATATTTGGCACCAGTGCTGAAGTGCTAAGAAGCTATTAGCCGTAATGCAACCCTTGCACAGAAAGACCCCAGACCTCCATATAACAGCTCCCTCTACAAGCCCGGGCGCTTGCAGGTGAGATAAGCCGCCTTATCTCGCAGGAAAGGCTCATCAGGACACACAGCTGCTCACACTGCCTGCTGTCATTCCAGCAAGTAACTACAAATTGTTCCAGCAAAACTACTATCCCCGTGATAAAAATTGCATCTTATCTCCATCATTTTTCTTTTAACTAAGATTTCCAGGGTCTTCTCTGATTAAACAGTTGTCTGCTAGATTAAAAACCTAGTAAACTTCTGTCTGCTCCTGTCAACTTGTATATGAGTTGGCTCTGAAATTTTTTTTAATTCTACTGCTGTCTTAGTTTCCAAATCCTCTCAAGCAAAGTTCTTTATGTTTCCCAGAAATACTTATATTTAATTCTTACCAATAGCTGTTGTACTGTTATCTTTGTTTAATGGTCAAATTTAATTTCTATTATTTTCTTATTGAAGATTGTACAACAAAGAATGTGTTCAGCATTCATCACCTATTTTTAGGAACAGGTTATGAATTTATGATCGTTTTTTTTTTTTTTCCCTACTAATTGGTCTGATTTTCCCAGCAGGCCTGGAAAGTTTGGTTTTTAAGTGTGCCTCCTGTGTCAAATTTGCAACATGAGCTGTGACACATCTAATACAAGAACACACATGATATCCCAACATGGTTGATGGCTCCTGAGGTGATGAAAGCCTGAAGTGGAAGCAGTTAATAGTTAAAGCCTGTTGCAAATCTATCTTGTCTTCTCAAACCAATTACACCCCGATTAAAGACAACCTTTACTTTCTTTGATATCTTTCCTATCATTCCTCACACATGCAACGTGCAATTGTCAGCTGGAAAACGTTCTCAGTGTGCAAGTATCAGCTTTGTATCTGGGATAAGTTCTTTTTGTTTTTAACCAGAAAAGCACTATGCTGTCTAGATTTTTAACTATACAATGGTGTTGCACAGCATTACTGACCAAAGATTGATTCTACAAAAGCTAGGACTAGATTGTTAATAAATTTTCATTTTTCTAAAAAAAAAAGAAAGTTAAAAAAAAAAAGAGCAAGCTCTTTTAACAAGCTCTTTTAACCATCTGTGATGCAAAGCAAAAATTAGTCACCATCTCTGAGTGTGGTCTCATTTTGGTGGTGAGATACGTTATACAAGCATTTGCCAATTGCTGAAAAAGAGACCTAGATCCAAACTAATGTTTTTCTTTTTCTTTTTTTTTTCTTCTTTTTATTTTTTTTTTCAATTAATTCCTAGGCTTCTCTATATTTGACTGTACATGTTTTCAGGAATACAATTCCTCCAAATAACACACTTATAATGAGGCTGCAGATTGAACAGAATTTAGCAAGACATGACATGAAATGTGACAAGATTTTAGCAGCAGCCTATACTATCTTTCAAGATCTAGCTTAAAAAAACAGCAATACTCTCTAAAGTGATTAAACTTTAGCAGGTTTCATAGGATTCACTAGATCTTCATGAAGAATGGCAGATAAGTGATAAGCACACATTGAAAGGGTAGTATCAAATGGAGAAACACTCACAAAGAAACACACCATAAAGAATCACCTGAAATACCTATGCATAGTGGAAAATAAATTCAAATGGAAAAAATACACAAGAAAAGACAAAAGGAAAATGTAATATAGTCTGCCAAATATATTTGGATTGAATTTTGGCTTTCAGAATCTGGATCCTACTGTCTTTTTACCCTCCAGAATGAAAGATCTCAAATTGTAAAAAAAAAAAGGTACAATTGCATTGTTCTGGTAAGTCCAGCCCTTCAAAAAGAAGATGATGTTTTTGATAATTACGTAATTGTTGTGAATATCTAAATTTCATATTCAGTTTGGTCTAGCTTTGGTTGTTAATAAGAACTGACTACAAACCCTCTGCTACATTTGACAGAGAAGGAAAAAGTCCCTGCTGGCTATGACTTCTTCCTATGTGGGCTGAGTATTTCTGCCTTCCAAACCCACCCACTCATGGGACCAAACAATTTGGCACTTGATCTTGGTAATATGATCCTCCTTTTCCTTCCTGGTAGTCTCCGATCAGTACTGAAATAGTTAATCTTAATGACATGAGTAACCACTGAGAACATTCCTCAGAAAAGTGAAGCAACTCAGATGTCCCAACAGATGTCATGGCTTTGCTTCTGTTCTGCCTACTGTTACAAATACTTAAAGGAATATATGAAATTTTGAAACCATAAATGGAATGGAACCAAAAGAAGGCATCTGTTTACCTAGAAGCAGAGAACCTAAACTGACAGCTCTGAAACATAAGCTGCTCCAAATGATCTTACAAATAAGATGCTTTCTTTTAACTATGGACTGTGATACAGCTATAATTAGACCTCAGTTTCACATTTCCATTTGTGAAATGGAAATTCCCTTGCATGACTTTTTATAGCTAGCTACAAATGATAAGAAATTAATTCTCGTTTCTGTTGTAATGTCCAAGGCTCCAAGCCAATTTGATTGGTCTGTGATGACCTGCCGGACACACGGGCTGATTAAAAAGCAGTAAGAAAGACTTATCATTAAAAACATCCACAACCTCATACCCTTACGAGAAATATTTTATAATATTGTGATATTAGAATGTTCTTATATTCATGTCTAAATTTGTACAAAATATATTTATATATTATATATATACATAACTATATACATATATATGCACACATGTATAGTTGCACTTTGCCTATGTGAATGAAAGCTTTAATGAAAAATATTTGAATTTATTGAAATACTATTATTCAAAATAAGTGGGAAATATATGTATAACAAAATTTATACCATTTCTTTCAAGTTTGTAGAAATGTCAGATGGGATACGTTCAGGCACAGATATGAACTGAGATTTTTAAAGACTGGGAATCTGAAACAGGGATTTTTACAGGTGGTAATGACACCTATGTGGCAAAATGCCACCTACATATCAAGACAGCTTTTTGGTGTGTAACTACTTAGAAATTCTCAGGAATAGCTTTGTTTCTAACAATAAAGTTAGCAAAATGCATAACAAGTGTGTGCAGCATATCAAGAAAACTAAATTTGACAAAAGAACTGCATCACAAAAGCCTGGATAATACTAAAGTCAAGAAGAAAGATAATAATAACTTTCAATCAATGAGAAATTCTCAAGTGCACCCTCACAAGAGTTGAGAAAGAGAGCAGGAAATCATTTGCCAGTGCGTTCAGTTTGATACTGCATCTGGGAAGTGCACAGAGGGTGTTGTCAGTCATCTGCCTCCTATGCACAGTTGGCTTATAAATGAAATAAATGTGATCAAATGGGCAGCTTTAATCAGCAGTGAGAACAAGAACGCACCTACTTCTTAAAAAAAAAAAAAGACAGAAGAATGGCACAAGCAGTCAATAAAGTGTCCTTTCTAAAAGTGCCATTTTTTTCCACCCATGTTAATGAGTGCTACTGCACCTTGACTCTGACTACTTGTGACAGTGATATATGTCTATTAAATTTTGAGAAAAAAAAATAGATTTTAGTGAAAAATGCTAATGAATTCCCTTGGAACTTTGTGGCAAAATAAACAGATGAAAGGTATTAATAAGTATTTTGGATTTTTTTTCACAATTGTTTCCTGTCAGTACTGATTAATATGCTGTAGTCTAAGATTTCCTCTCCTTACCACTGCAGCTTCCCCATTTGCAACACTGCAAAAATCCACATATTAACAAATCATGCAGTTTTATTTTACCTTTGCCTGCACCTACAGCAGGACGGAGAATACCAGCTTTAATGGAGGAAAATAAAAATAGGAACACTATATAATTAGATACAACACCAAAGGGAACATACATATTTAATTTCATTATAAACCATAAAAGCATGCAGACTAAATAAAATGTACTAATTCAAATAAATTAGAAACAATACACTTATGCTGAACACTGACAGACTATTACAAGACAAGAAGTTAATAAACATGCATTTATTAAATTTTACTGTCATGCTTGTTAAGATTTGTGGTTTAAAATAAACAAAGTTCACATACAACTTTATACCCTGCTAGAGAAATTGTGCTTCATATCAACCCCCCTATGGCAACTGTAATAAGCTGCAAACTTACTAACCATAAAAAAAAATGCAAAGATGGTAACAAAATAGACCCTTAATATTGAGAAGTGCAAACTCTGCAAATTTCTCCTGGATTTAAATTACTATTATTTAATTTTCATATTTAAATAAATAACATCTTCAAAAAGAACTACCATAATCTCAGGTGTGGCTGCAAATGTAAAAATCAACAGTGATAAAATCAAACACCAAAATTAAGATTCTTTAAACATTATACAACGTCACCAGCTCCTGGAGGCCTTAGATGATAAAATTGATACTGCAGTTTTTCAAGTCATTGACGGCTCTGTGGCAAAGTTTTAGAACTTAAAAAAGCTACTGTATACTGCAAAAGAGAAATAATTTCCTCATCTAGCCATAAAGCTGCATCATTTTGTGAGTTTTCTCTGTGACCAGAAGAGGTCATTGAAGCAGAACAGGTGAATGATGGCCAATCACTTAAAATGTACAGTTTCGTGAAACAAATTTTGAATTTTTCTGGATATATTCTAGCCCAGAAAAGGCAGAGTCTTAGATCTTATAAGTTCATATTAAATGAAGTGTCTTTACAACTCTTTTGTGCTTACACTGCAGTAGAAAACCTTTCTACAACTTTTCTTAAAATAGATTTTAAATCACTTATTAGTGCACACTAAAGCTAAGAAAGCTCTACAAAAACTTTTAATAGGAACTCAATATATCAAAAAGTAGAAATATTTTCAATAAAATTGAAATTTTTTAAAACTCACTGGGTTTTTTTTATACATACCCATCTTACCTTCATCCATAATTGTTACTGCTTCCTCAGTTATCGGACTTCCTGATCCAACTGATGTTTGTGCATTAAAGTAAAACTTGTATCGTGTGCTGTAATTTAAATTTTTTAATATCAAGCTGCTTTCGTTGGCAGGAATTCTTATCTCTACCAAGGGACCTAATTCATGTGTGTTGTTAACTGTTATTACAAGAAAAAAAAGAGTTAGTTAGATAAAAAAAAAAAACCCACTGTGTTTAATCATGCTTCAAATTTTGATTTTGTTTGCTGCATTGTTCATTTCAGATTATATAAATGATAATTTACAATTTCCAAAGAAAGTCATGTAAATGGGGTAAATAGGATCTATGCAAGGGGCAAAAAATTAACACAGAGACAAGAAACATCTACAAGTTTTAAGCTCAAAAGTTCCACTCTTGTAGGAAACATATGCAGAGAATGGCCCAGGACAGGTCAGAATTTGGACACAGATGACAGCACAAGTGTTCAACACTGGACATCTGAATCCAAGATAACCGGGTCCAGATATAATCATATGAACTAATGCACTTCTGAAACACTGATAATTAATGGCTCTGAAGTAACTGACCAAGAATAAGTTATGTTTTCTAACAAAAGTATTGACGTGATTTCTGTCTGAAGACAGAGGAAGCTGCTAAGTGGGAAAAGAACATGCTGCCATGTACAGAAGACTCATGATTTCAGCTGTCACTGCTGACGACACCCTGGGCAGGGCAATTAAATAGTAGCATGTAGATTCTACCAAAATGATTAGCTGAACAGAAATAATTTAGAATAATTTAATTTTAATTAAAAGCTAATACATTTTTGCCATCAACAAATGACCCTGTGATTGAGGATTCTTGACCTTCTTTATTATTTTTTGACTTGAAAATTAAAACATTATGAAAACTGGAGAAGCAGACAGCAATAGAATGGAATGTATTTTGTTCTAGTTATAACGGTGTTTTCTTTGCAGCCAGAAGTCAAGCTTTACTAGTGAGTGCATCTTGCTTCTTAGGTGTCAACTATATGCAGGACTTTACTTCCATTTTTAATGCGAAGTATGGTTTAAAGAAATAGAAATATTCCAAACATGTACATGAGCCTGTGAGGTTTTCTAAAAAGGATAACCTAATCCTTAATCTTTTCCTTAATCTTAACTCTATAATGTAATTTACAGAAGTACAAAACCTTTTGCACATGACAAATTTAATATGATTTCTTCTTAAATGGATTATTATGCCGTAGGCCTACAGTTCAAGGCAGATTTATAGATTTATTATTAACTTACTTGGCTGAAACTTCAGTATATATGCTGTCAAAATACCATTTGGATGAGTAGGTGAACCCCACTCCAGAGTTAGAGAGTCCAATGTTGGGTCAGTAATCTTCAAAAAGGAAGGTGAGCTGGGAACTTACAAGAAGAATATATAGTAAACACAAAACAATGCAAATACTATTAATTATTAATAAGATGACTACATTAAGACTATCATTTTATGATTTCTAAGATGCAGATCAGCAGTTACATTCTGTTTCTGAATATATCACACACGTTGACTCTCTAGCTTTCTCATTTCATACCTCCTTCAGGGGTCCTAAATTCTTTGTCTGGGCTTGCTGGTCCTTCTCCTTTACCATTAACAACTCTAACATTTAGCTTGTAAGAACTATAGGGCTCCAGTCCAGGTAACATTCCAAAAGTCTTGTTTCCCCTGAAAGTCAGGATCTTTTTTTCTACGTGTCTCCTATTCCTTCTGGATAGACTCTGCACTTTCCAGTAGTAAACCTAAGGACGAAAGAAAACTTGCATGAGAATGGAGGAGTTTCAACTGTGCATATTAAAAACACCATAAATATCCATGAATTATATCCAGGAACAATAGAAATTTTAATAAGCAGCAAAAAGCAGGTAAAAGCAGCATAGACCTTTGCAACTCCAAAAACAGACCTTGTCCAGTAACAGTTAAGTTTAAATGACTGGATGAAAATTAGCACTTGTCCGATCTGCTTATGATCAAAGTCAGTCTGATAAGATTTCTGGTTTGAAGAAATTGTACCTGACAGTTCTACTATTAAGCAAGTGCACCTGAAAGGTAGGGTTTGCTCAGGCTGTCTGTTCTTGCTCTATGGTGTCTACACAGCTATTCTAGAGCAACCTTCACTCTGCCACCTTGTTATGTAAGTAGATGGCACACACCTGGCCACGCAGATATAGTCCCTGTGATGTGGAAGCCAAGTGACATTCTTAAACGTGAAGATGATTCAGTTTCTTAGAAACTCACAGGTATCACTGCAACCTCCTTGACTACCCTCTCTTTACCAGTCAGTATTCCTACTGTAGATTTTGGAAAGATGTTAGCAGTTGTCTCTAAAAAGACTTGTGTTATACCTAGAAATGTCACTCTCAGATACATCACCATTCATTTTTCACTGGACAATTCTTTGTGTATTTATGAACATGTGGTTATACACTAAAACTGGCAAAGTAATGTAAGAGGGTAAACTCCTGGTTACATTTAGGCCTTCTGCTTGTGTGTCTCATGCTTTTTTTCTTTTTTTCTCTCCTCTGTACTATTAATTATCTTTAACAGAAACGTGGTGTTTTGGATTACGGGCATTAGCACTGCTATAAATGGATTAAAATCACCATTAATTTCACTAAACTCAAATTCTTTGATCCTTGCATAGTATATGTTCTTTTGGTTGCTGTTTGCACATGCAACACGAGGTTGACCCAATAATCTAACAGATCTAACAAGACCTTTTCCTCTGCAGGGTTTATGATCTAGGGCAGAGCACCCTGCTAACTACAAACAGCCATGTCAGCTCTCAGCACTGGTGTCAAGCATCTCTCAGGGCGATACTTGGTGCCAGATCAGTGCCGTACACACACTGGAGCTCACGCTCATTTCGTAGCCAGACATTATGTGCTCAAGTTCAGACTCAACCTAACTGCACGTTAACTTACACTAAACTGCTTTCAAATAAACATACATGCCCAAGTTTTCTGTATTTTTCCCTCTTTTAAACTGAGCTTTTTCCTGGTCTTCAAAAGACAAAACATCCAGCAGCAGCCAGCACATGGCTAGTTAGTCGCAGTTAAAGATAAGGTTAATCATAAATGGCAAAAGATGAATATTCTTAATATTCAATAGCATTAGACTCAGAATGGATTCCTCATCCTCTATATGTCTTTTGGGAAAAAGATCTAAAATACTATCATAATTTTAAATATAATATCTATATAATATACCATATATCATATACATAGCTATATCTTCTGATATTATATAGAGAGATATTGTATGTATATAATATCTTCCAGATTAACTGTAGGCACATCCTTTTTTCTTCAATAACAATATCATAGAAGACTAATACTGCAGAATATGCAGAATTTTAAATGAGTTTTAGCAATGCTGTTGCTCTTGGAGGTTAAAATCCATCACCTCATAGGAAGTCAAGTAGAATTCTCCTAGGTATCAGTTATGTCAATATGGGCACAATTTCATCTATTAGAGTGATCTATTTTGATAAATGGCAATATAAAGTTTCTGGTTATACCTACCTTGTACCCTTGAAGGTGTCCTCGGACAGTTTTTAGTGGAACTGGGTCCCAATGTACCTTTGCTAATGTGCTGTTAAGGACGTGAACCTGCACATTGCCTGGAGCAACCATTGGCACTGTGTGGAAAGGAAGCAACAAACATGGAGTTAGAATTTGACACCATATGAGTATACTTTCTCAGAAAGGCTCTTTGCATTTCATTCAAGTAGATATAAATTTTAGTCCTGTTTGTTAAACAGTTGACCTCAGGATTAATACTGCAGTGTTTCATATCTTCAAATTATTTCAATTTCATTTTAAAAGTAGGTATGATCCCTCATTTCCAATATTTCTATAATCCATTTTTAAAATACTTCAATATTTTAAAATTGCATATAGGTTCTGTATTTAGCTTTTTTGTTTAATAAAATAGATTCAAACTAGGAAACTTACAGTCTTCCCCCGAATGTCCAATCACCTCTTGAGGCTCTGGAGCATATCCCAAGTCATTTAAAGCCTGTACTTTTATCTCATAGGGAACAAAAGTTGGTGTACCAGACACAATATACTTAGATACATTTGCCACTATAACAGAAGTCCATTCATCATCAAAATCTTTCTGACGCCAGCTGACTTTGTACTGAAGCCCTGGTCCATTAGACTGAAAACCTTTTAAAGACTGAAATGAAAAGAATAAATGAAAATTGTTTTAAAGGAACGTTTAAGCATTAAAAGTCTAAGGTCACAAAAGAAACCTCTTTCACAATTTTGGTGGAAATACATCACTACATTCTGTGACCAAGAAACACTGTTGAAACCACCCAGCTATGCTATTTAATCTTGATATGAATACAATTCAGTACCATTTCATTCCCTAGGAAAAAGAACGCTGCAGAGTAGCTTTGACCAGCTAATCACCAGGCAACTATACAGTATCATTTTTGTATAAATATTTTGTTTCCAAATATCTCTCCAGAAGTTAAAGAAGGAGATACAGACCTACACCAACTTCATATAAACCATGTTCCCTAGAGATGGTTTCTTGCCTGGGATGGGAAACAGGTTTTATTTGACCCTCATGAGCTCCTGTCAGGATGGTAAGGACAAGGCCCAGACATAGGGTCTGTAGCAGAAGAATGCACAATAATTTAGTATATCACAAAAGTTGTTCATTCTAAAAATAAAATATACCTAAAATAAACCATAATTTACACATTCAAGATTTTCTACACAGGCAGCAAACAAAGGGAAATCTCCTATTTTTATTCTTTTTCAAAGATATTTCCACCAAGAAACAAATATAGCTTACCAAGGGGTATTCACAGCTACAGTATTATTTTTTTTCACTAAAAAATGCTACTCACAGACTTAAAAGCAAAGCAAAACAATCCAAACCCAAACTTACCTCCCATGTTATCACCAAATTATCAGGTTCTGAGCCTATCCCTTGTACATTAGAAGGATTTTCGTCAGGGTCTAAAAATTAAATATTTACATGTGAAAAGGATGACTTCCATGTGTGTTCCAAGCAAATTCAATTCCATTCAAAGCATAAATCAATCATTTGCAAATGGGAATACTTATTTACTTGCAGCTTTTGTCAGGTATTGCTCAGATGGTTCACTTGGCTGGCTCCTACCAATCTCATTGACAGCTATCACACGGAATGAATAGTTGACGTATGGAGACAGCTTCAACTGTACCATTGTCTGAGACCCAGGCACCTCTGTCTGGTAATGCCATACCCCTGGTTCATGCAGGCCATCTTCATACTCAATAACAAAATCTATGAACAAAAATTGGATGCTTTTTCATGTCAAATTTTCAATACATTCCGAGATACGCACGGCTAGTTTTAAATGAGTTAGTCAGCATAGAAAAACCTCATCAACTTTTTCTTAAATGTGGAAATTGAAATCCAAGAACAGAGAGCTCAAACAAAATCTACCACGTGGATCTACCACAAACAAAATCTACCACAGCAGTAGTGCCTAAAAAGAAATGTGATAGAAACACTCTTATTTTTATTATTAAGTATTCATACTAGTGTGTCTAACTGTCAGGTAACACACTATTACAAGAACTCTCTCTCAGATACTAGATTTAAATGTAATAGGAACATGTGAACTATCACAATAAGAAAAGGGGACAAGTCTGGATTTTTTTATGTAAAAGTAATTTCTAGCAGATAGGAATATTGCTCTTCATTGCATGAAGCTGACAATAAAGTTCCTATACAATATTAAAATTATCTAAATGTTCCGTTTCCCCAAGTAAAATTAGTTAAGTAAAAAAAACTATTTAAAGTCAATAACCAATACATGAGGGAAGTTTTTGAATGCAGTCTTCAGTACTTCCAAATTCAACCAAGGGGTTTAATTTGGGTAACCAAATCCCTTTACTGTGATTGCTGTTAGGGCTTTGGGCTTCACCCCTACAGTGTACCTCTCTTCAGGGATATGTAGGTTTGTAGAACCCCAAAAAGACAACCTATAACAGAGAACATTTTCTCCAGCTGTGAAAGAGCCAAAAGAGACTCCTTCTCTCAGGTATAGGTGACAAAAGTTCTGCAAGCCTTAACAAGAGTTAGTAGGATATAGGAAAGAAAAGCACGGGGTGCACACTATGAGAATCTTTCACATAACATTAAGTTTTGATTTTTGAACTTTAAACCAAGTATTGAAAATTTTGCTCCATCTTATTTATAGTAGGGACAAGAAACCAGAATATGCCTTAGAATATATTCTTGTTGCACTACTAGGGAAATCATGAAGGGTTTCTTGAAATTGCTTTTAGAAGAAAACTGACAGCATTATTTAGAAATAACACTCCTCAACTATTCGAGGATCCAAGCTGTTTAAGTAAATACAGGCTTCTGGGCTTCACCCTGGAAAATTTAATCCTGGTAAGTGGTAGGAGAGAGAGACAACCACCTCCAAATTACTGCCCAAGTTACAGTAGTTGTTCAGTGCTCACAGATGAACATTTGGGGATACAATGCTTTTTCGATGAGACTGTTCTTTGAAAGGTTATATATTCTACATGAATGGTAAAACAAGAACAAACACCACCAAAGTTATCAGTAGTGTTTTTTTGTTTCCCTTGTAACTGGCATGCTGCCTGCAACTGTGGAGAACAAGCTATATCAGATAGATAGAGAAAAAAATTGCTACCTGAGCTTTCAGAGAAATTCTAGTATGTGAACTGTGTTATCTGTGTAAAGGGATCATTTATAGTGAAGTGTTATCCTTGAGTCTGTATTTTGAAGTGATAACTGGAGCAGTTAAGAGGCTTATTTTTGAAGCAAATTTCTTTCAGGCACTCATTGAACCACAAAGCAACTGCAATTGTACTGTAACTAAAAACAACTGTGTAAGTGTAAGACAGTATCTCACTCCAGTAAACTTCTGACATGAGACAGCCTCACCTAGTATCACCTCTAACAAACAGAAGGTCTTTTTCTCCTTCGAAAGTACACAGGAATAACTTTTTATCCATTGATCTAGTTTACTCACTACGTATTCTTAAGACATGTCCTGTCAGAAGGGCCCACATGTGCGTAGACTGCTATGTTAACAGTTGGCTAGCACAGATTTTGGGGTCAAAAACACAGCTCTCTAACAAATCTTTCTGCTTGATTGCGCAGTAGACAATATTCAGTAATTTCTTATTATCTAAATAAATGGCACGTGTAGTGAAATACAGATAAACATACTTGTAATTGGACTGTTGTTTTCATCTCCTGGTATCCATGAGAGCTCTATGCTTCTTTCAAGCTGACCTGTTAATTCCAAATCAAAGGGTGGATTTGGCCGAGCTGTAAATTAAACAAACAGGGAGTTCTCAGACCAGAATATGTAGTTTCTTCTTCAAAACAATCCTTATATACAAATCAAAACACTGCAATGCAGAACTACTTTCATTATGGATATATGATTTAATGATTATTAGCATGCAGTTGTTATGAAATGGAGAAGAACTGATGTATACAGAAACTTATTAACTTATCCTAATTTTAAAAATGAGAATTCAGGTTTGATTTTACCTACATCTGATTGAATTGCAATGTAAAGCCAAGAAATATGAAATGCATGTTTAGTGAATCTACTGCTACTAAAAATAATTAATAAAATACGGAAAATACGCACTGACATTAAAAAAGCTGACTCAGAATTGCTACAGGTATTTTGCATGTGAGTTCAAAACAAATACAGTGCAAAAAACCTAATTGCTAGTCACAAAGGAAATTTTTTTGGCTGTATTTAAGAACCCTGAAATATCAAAGTTGTTGTTAATGCACATCCATATCATACATAAAGATGAAAATCTCCATTCCAAATTACTGAAAATAATTCATTATATTAATCGTTACTCAAAATCACGACTAATGAGTAGCTTCATTTAAATACACATTAGTATTTCCACTGGACATGTCAGAACTTATATACATGTGTCCATAGGCATACTGTGGTATATCTACCAATGCAAATTCAGAAAAATGCTATCAATTTAAAGACTATATGGACCAATAGATATTTTTTTCTACAGAGTAACTTTAATTTAACAATACCTGTAAAGTTCTCTATGAAGGCAGTGGAAAATATGTAATAATTTGGAGGGTGCAAGAGCTTTCAACTAAGATGTAAATTTACACTTTGGATCTATTTATTTATTTTTAATATAACCAATTGCATTACAGTGCTGAATTAAAAAAAAACACACTGCAATCAACCTTAATTCAAAATAATTGTTTTGCTAATTATTTTGCTATTATTCGCTAAAATACAAAGCTTTGATCCTATGATTCCAGAGTCTAGTACTCCAGAAACGAAGCAGTCGGTAAAGCCGAATGATACCACACATAAACACACAAGCACAGAGGGAAAAAAAGAAAGAGGGAAAAGAGATGCTGCAGTTGGCAACAGGCAAATGAGAAAAACGTCTTTCAGATCATGTAGAAAGAGAATTGTACATTAGTTTACCGTAAATGATAGCTGGAGTTGGGGGAGCAGCTGAAAAGAACATTAATATAAATGGTTTAATCAGTTAGTAGCCAAAGAAACAGAATATTGCAGGCAGTTAAAGACTACAATTAATAGAGAAAAAAAGTAATTTAAAGCATATGGTTGAATTTACTGGTGTTTTTTCACTGAAAGTGATAGAAATAATTCTTTAATATTTTATCCAATTTATTTATTAAAATATATAGTAACAGCAGCACTTTTATAAAAGTGTGTAAATAGATATCAGGTGTTTAATGTATGTCATTCCTGAATAGGTATAAGATCACAACATAATTTAAAAATTCAGATGTATTTGACTGCAAACTTTAGGTTGAGCCTTGGTTGAGCTTAATTTCATCAGGTCAGAATCACACAGATTATTTAAGACTCCTATAAATTGTGAGTAAGGGCCAAGTAACACATCTTACAGCCACTTGCAATGACAGAAACTTAACAGAGAGAACTAACTTACACAGGAAAACCTTGAAAAAGCCTACACTGAAGCACGCCCGGTCTTCGTGAAGCAGAATTTAGCAGCCAACAAGGTTCCTGTGAACCCCGCTTATGTGCAAATACTCTGCAATATTGGATCCCCTGTGTTAGGTTATTTGTGATATGAATAAAAACTGACACAGCATGAAACTGAATGTGTTATATGAACCGTTTTATAAATTGCTGATTCAGGGGTGAACTTGAGAGCAGAAAATGCTCTTGTTTTCTAATCTGATGCACATGTAAGAGGTGCAGTTCCTTTTGTCCTGACCTAGCTACCTAGTTTGTGTTTTTTTCATTTCAGATCTGTTTTCAAATTTAACAGAATTAAACACAGTTCTGCAACTATAAAGTTTTAGAGTATTCTTACCAACAACAGTTAGCACAGCACTTGCTGAAACACTGTCCAGAGTGGTATTAATTATGCAAGTATATGTTCCATCATCTTTATCAGTTACATTCATAATGGTCAAGTTGTCTTTACCAACTAGAAACCTGTAAATACAATAAATTCAGCCACTGATTTTTCAATAACTGGTATTTTTATAAGAATAAAAATATTGTCAAATCCCCTGTACCTATGTATTTCTGCAAATAACTAGAGATGAACATAAGCTATGGGACACTGTCAGCCTTTTCTGTATTGCTATTAATCATCTTTCCACAGTATTTATCTCACTTTCTCATGGGTTCTTATCTTCAATGTATTTTTAATTTCTCTGATCTACAGCAAAATATTTCTTCCATCACCTGTTTGGCCTCTTACACCACTAATTTTCTCTTTACGATTGATATATATCACCAATGCACACACTTAAAATTTTTACATCTAATTTTATTTGAATTCTGTTCTAATACTGTCTTTACAGTAAATATGGCTTTTAGTCACCAAATATGCAATAGTGATGATATTTACTAGTCTTCTTCAGTATGTGCCCTTCAGAAAAGACCCTAAAAAAGGCAACTGAAAGAAAATAGAAAAAAAATGTATATATTGTTTTTATTCGTACCTTTCATCATCTGGCAGCTCTCCATTGTCTTTCAACCATATTATTGTTGGTATTAAAGTAGGATCATGTTTTATTGTACACTCAAATGAAACTTGGCCAGCTCTTTGAATCACTTTGTATTCTGGCTGTTTAATTATTATCGTTGGATCTGAAATTTAAGATCATCATCAGATATTTTAAAAGCCTGAAATTCTGCACTAAGTTGTGATGTAAAGTGATTCGTTTCTTACCTTTCACTTGCAACTGCACCTCATTTTGTATCTTTCCTAATTCATTCCTTGCTACACACGTGTATGTACCAATGCTATCCTTCTGAGCCACGGGAATTTCCAAGGTTCCATTTTCATGGAAAACATATTCACTTCCGCGCAAGATGCTACCTTTCACTCCCTTAAACCTATACATTAAAAGCAGTATCATTATCCAGCAGCATACTTTAATTCTAGCAAACTTTATTGTCAGAAAACACAAACTTGGACTGTCATAGAATCTATATGTGCTACAGACAGAATCACTTACTGAAAAGTAAACTTGACTCTGTAGGGTAGTTAATTGTAAACAATTAATTAATTGTCGTAACATTATATGTTTAAAATAACCTTTTGAAATTTTAAATAAACAGCTCTAAGGTTTTAAATGATTGTTTTCATAGATATAATTTCTACTTTTTTTTTCTTTTTTTTGGTACATATTTTTAACACAAAATGGCTTACCATTCAATTTCAGGCTTAGGAGAACCAAAATAAGCACAGTCCAGCAACGCCGGATTATTTGCAATGACTTGGTACAGTTTATTAGCAGGAGTTAGAATTCTTGGCGGCTCGGCTGAAAAGAAAAAGACAATCTGCATATAGATAGAATGACAAAAATGCAAAATACTAAGACATCAAGAATAGCCTAAAGAACGTTACACATAAACATTTTCTCTGAAGTGATTTCTGGTTTCATTCCAGTCCAGATATGTTCTGCTGCCAGCAGCCTAATGAAATTTTAATACAGGAGAATTTTCTTGTAGAAACAAACAAACAGATAAGCAAAGTAAGATTACAATTAATTGTGATGGGCAACAAAACAAACCATTTCATTTGGAGAATTTTTATCAGAACCTATTTTCAAAGAAATTTATTGTTGGAACAGACTGATCTCAGCAGAAAGAAGTTAGCATGTTAACGTCGTGAAACACTCGCTTTTTTGAAGAGCATTTTGGATTCAGAAGGGAGTCTTTCCTTTAAAAGACAGTGACCCTCAATTAAAGGATCTGCTATTCCTTTAGAGAATCTTTAGAGGTCATTCTGCCTACAATTTTGCTAGTAATTTTTTTAATTTCAGAGAAAAAAAGAGAATTCACAATATCTCCTACCTAGGAACACATTCTTGGAGGCTTTTAAGACAAACACATAATCACACTGCCTTGCAATAGGAATATACAAAATCTTTTCTATGATGGAATTTATCTGAGTCCTTTTCAAAGCTTATCTGAGGGAGGTATCTTTGCAGAAGGAACACAGTGTGTTTTAAACTACAATTTTTAGATGGAACAGTTATATAACCGATCAAAAAACCAGCAAACAATTAAAGTAAACCAAAGCATATTTAAAGCTAAAATTGCTGCCCAACTTGTTATATATATAGATTTGCTTGATTTACATAAACAAAGAACAGGGGTAAAATTTCTTCTAAGTTTCCTCCAGGTTCCATGACTGTTTTAGAAAGAACAAGGTATTTGTTTTTTTGTGAAGAGCATGTGTTAAAAACAGCATTTTCGGTGCTCAGGAAAGATGTCCATTCCCACTTAATAAAACTCCAAGGTTGGTTTGGGCATGCAATCTCTGTATTAGCAGGAAACAACTGAATACTGTGAAGAAGACTGCAACATTTGTCTCTTACCCAAAACATTCACAAATGCATTTGCCAGAAGATACCCATACTCATTAGAAGCATTGCACTGATAGACAGCACTTGACCTTTCTTGCACGTCTGAGAAAATAATCGTGTCTCCGTCTACCTTCCTGCTAGGATCTTCTGGGGCAACTGTGGGTGTTAAAAACAAAAAAGAAAAAGAAAAAAAGAAGAATCAGGTTGTTTTGTTTAACTTGCTTTGGATTCCTTGTTTTGCACTTGTGAAAAGAAGAAACGTGAAAGAGCACGGGCAGGTTTCAGCTTTTCAAAGACGTTTTTATACACATAAGTATTTTTGCAAATATAAAAAGTCTTACTCAGTTAAGACTGGCTCAGAGTAAAATAAAAGTCATCAGCTTAATTCTTTAGCACAAAATTAAGAAACGAAGGACGTCTCTGAGAGAATTGACAGTATTTCAGTAGGTGGCACCCTTTCCTTTGAGTAGGTATTAAACAATGTCATTTCCTCAGCTGTTCTGTAACAGCCCAGCTGCATCCTGAGGGAGTTAAGGGAATAACAGAAAATAAAATTCTGAGGTAGTTCTGAAAAATATTAGCTGTCAGTTTTGATACAACAGAGGTAATAGAGAAAAAACAGTATTTATTTTTTAAGTAAATATTAAAATACTATTTCATGAATGCATTATCAATATTGAAAAATGGTAATAAAATCAGTATGCTAATATAAAATAAATGATAACTCCTTATGCTTCAGACAGTAAATCTATATTTAGAAGAACAGAGAAATTATTCCCATATTTTCTCTTTTTTTTGAGATATCTACTACTGAATCCTATAGGAGATAAGACACTGGAAGAAAGGGACTGCAGTTCTGAGATTCTTCTTAAGGATATTTCCATCTTGGTTCAAATTTATGGCTATTTTACATACAAAGAGCAACACTAATCCCTAAGGAGATGCTTCAAGAATATCGCTTTACAACTCTATTGTTTTACTCTTATCTCAAAGATGATGTTTTAAAGATACTGCTTTAATTATTGTGTTATTCTTTCCATCTTAGTTCAAATAAAACAAAACTAAAAACTTGAAAAGGGAAAAAACAGAAAAAAGAAGTAACTACTAGAAGTTTAAATGCTTAGCTTTTATTACTATTTTTTTTTCTGGACTCCTGGGTTGCTAGTGGTTTATTATTCCCTTTTGCTTTACTTCCTATTGTGCTCTGTGTTCTGTATATGCCTCTATGCCATTTACAGGCCATTTGCATTGAACGATTCATAGCCTGAAAGTAGATGGAGGACACGAGCAGCCTGGCGGGCCGGCCGCTCCTCTGCACTGTGTGCTCGGTTCCTGCCTACAAATCCTGCTACATGGAAATCCCTTTACAACCATTCCCTCCAAAAGCCACAGGTGGCTGCTTTAGCCCCTGTGCAGCTCATGCCCTCTTGTTTAGGCTTCCCTTTCTTGCCCACTGAGTCCTGAATAATTTTCTATATGCTGACATACTCTTAATGGCTGCACAGAATACAGTCCTCGCACACACTCCCATATGTAAGAACTTATACAAGGCTGCTCCTTTCAGGGAAATGGAAGCCATTAATTAGCTCAGTCTTCTCCTGCCGAAGTGAAACTGGAACTCTTAAAAAAAAAAAAAAAAAAAAAAAAAAAAAAAAAAAGCCCTAACCATTACATTACTATAGAAAAAGTAGGGGAAAATCTTCTCTCCCCACTGCTGCATTTATAGAAGAAAAATACATACTGCTCCTGAGTCCTTTGAAGGAAAAGTAGCAGATGTCTATTTTGAGGAAAGTATCTGTGGGTTCTTAAAGGGCAGAAAAATCCCTGAGAAAAGCAGGGGGTTAATCAGTGTTTGCACTAGGCCAGCGTAGCTATTCTCATCTTGAAGAGCAGTAATATTAGAAAGCTGCCTGGTGAGACTGGGGTCTATCACAGACTTTCAGACACATCTTGTTCTCCTTGTGCCTCACAAACAGCACCTACAGACACCATGTGCTACACCTCATTTTGCATGGCCCGGCCCAAAAAGTCACATTTTTTATCACCCAAGTCCTTTACTTCTCCAGCAGGGAGAAGGTGCAGCTTTTCATCAGACACTTTTGTCACCGTTAGTCATCAGCACTATGAATAGTGTCTGTTCTCCTCCAGAGTCACGTTCTTCCTCATGAACCTTGGCCCAAGCAATCACCCCTGTTAGCATGTTTAAACAGCCAATTGTGGTACCATCCCTTTCTCTGGAGAAAAATGTAGAAAAATGCTTTCTGAGCAGATATGGTTAAAATACAGCACTATACTTGAAACTGGAAGGGAAAACAACAGATTTTGTTGGATTTATTATTTTCATGTTCCGATGAATTATTTCATTTTCTTGACCAATTGTAATTGCTGTTCAATGTATATTTCTGCACATTCAGTGACACCAGAACACGTTTCACCTGATGACACAATATACAACATTTATAACTGGTCCAAAGAAATAATACAATCTTCAGCCTGATTTCTAAGAAAAATATCTTGGCTTTTTTTTTTTTTTTTTGCTAGAAAATATTTAAGATAGGAAATTAGTCATGATTTTTAGGATGTATAAGTACTAAATGCTTCTGTTCTAGAGTGAAAATGCTGATGTCATCTGCAGATGCACTAGTCTCCCACTAACTAGAAACAAGCTGCGAGAGAGAAGAACAAAATTACTTGACTACTTTTCCACATATCAGTGAGAATACATGCATAAATATCTTGACATGTCTTACCTAAATCAACAAAAAAAAAAAAGGAAAAAAAGGAAAAGAATTTCTATTTGGGGGGAAAAAAACACAGAATAACTCATTTTTGAGTATCCTTACATGCCTGCACCCCCCTCAGCAATTCTTACCTTCAAATCAGAGGTAACCTTTACCGCTATGCATTTACTAGCAAAAAATATATACATGCAGAGAAGCTGTGGAAGTTCTGAGCTGGCAGAGACAGGACAAAAACAGACAGGGAAACAGCAAGGGTGGGCAGCGGTACAGGGCAGCAGACACGCTTCAGAAACTACATGCTAAAACCAAGGTGGAAACTAAGCACTAGAAAGGAGTCTTAGCAAGACGATCCACCTTTGCCTTACTCTGCTCCTTACAGATAGCTGCCAGGCTTAATTTTGGAAGAAACGGGACATGGAAAAAGATGTCCTTTTCCTTCTTCTGCTAACCTAACTTACTCCACAGCGGAATATTTTCCTCAGACCATTCCCATCTTGCTCCCGGGCAGTTTTCTGATGTTAACACTACTATTCACTCCAAAAGGGACAGCAAAATATTACCTGCAGCCTCTCTCTCTTCTGTGCACTAGCGATCACTGGCTGGCTACCTTATGCAGAATACATAAAACCAAATTTTATCAAGTTTGATCAAGTTATCAAAGTGCATTTATCAGAAGTTTTGGTATCTGCACCAGCTCTGGACAGATGTACAGCTCCAACATAATGGCAGCAGAAGTGCTGTCTAAATGTCTGTCCTGGCAGCTCCCTCCTCCTCATCACCAAATTCCTGGGGGCATCAGAGTCCAGTAGATTTAACCCCGGCTCTTGCGGCTGTGGGGAACAGATTTCTCAGCTACAGATTATCCCTTTCATGAAAGGGATCTGACAGCTAATGCTTTTCCTTATGTTCAATGTGATCACTAATGGGCTCTAACTAAAAACTAAGTTTTGATGTGAAATGTGATATTAACAAGCAAAGGGCATGGTAAAAGGATATAAATTACGCCTTTCAGTGCACAACTCTGTCCGTGTATTTAACATTTAATAGCTCGCCGTGAAGTACAAACTACTGAACCAACAAATTCATCTTTTGTGCAGCATTTGAAATGCCCTTCCACAGCGCAATCACGACAGGGTCTCCCCTCCCCAGTTACTGGGGGTTGTTCGTTTCCCGAAAGCGAGGCGCTTTATGCCTGGCTTCCCCTCTGCAAAACCGGGCGGGACAGCTAGGCCGCAGCCCACATGGCCTCCGCGGCCGCCTAAATAACGCACCACCTCAGCGGTGCTTGGAGCACAAGGCAAAAGCAGAGGCACGGCCTGAACTTCCAGCTGCTCCTTGCAAAAGAAACTCTAATCTAACTGACCTCAGTGGGACGGTGTGTGTAAAGCTGAAGTTACTCCTGCGAGTAAACATTGTACGGTTCAGTCCTCACCGCTCTGGACTGTCTGACACAGCTTGCGGTGCATCTGAAGCCAGTTTATTAAAATTGTATTGTTGATGAAAATGAATTGGGGACCGAAAAAGAACCTAAAATCTTCCTTCAAAAATGTTTTTAAATGTTTTACATTTAAAATGTTATAATCAGGCAAAATGCACTCTTTTGCCAGCTTTTTCACATATACTCAAAATACACTGCTGCTTTTTTTCTTCTGTATTTTCATATGAAGCTGCTCTTCATCTTTCATTCCTTTTCTTTCTTTCTTTCTTTCTTTCTTTCTTTCTTTCTTTCTTTCTTTCTTTCTTTCTTTCTTTCTTTCTTTCTTTCTTTCTTTCTTTCTTTCTTTNTTTCTTTCTTTCTTTCTTTCTTTCTTTCTTTCTTTCTTTCTTTCTTTCTTTCTTTCTTTCTTTCTTTCTTTCTTTCTTTCTTTCTTTCTTTCCCCTTTTGGTATTTCAGTCTCACGCCTTGACTGAGATATGGACGAATGGCTTTTTCTTCAACACTCCCCTTTCCTTGTGTGCCTCTATTATGGAAACACAAAACCGGAAGAATTAAGCATCTCCCAGTCGTGCCTTCCAATAGAAAATTAAAGTACTGCAAACAGATTACTGGGCCACAGGAGGCATATTGTGAGATATATGATGACAGCAGGGCTTTGAAATTCAAATGTAGCTCTTTTTCTTTGAAATGCTGCCATGGGTGTAGCTCGCTCAGCACTGCCCTGAAGCTGAAACAGCTGCTTTAGTTTCCTTTTACAGTTTACTAATAATTCAGTTAGCAGAACAGGGGCTCAGTTCTGTCCCTTGGTAACAAGTGAACAAAAGGGCACACTGTAGTAAGGAGCCTCCAGACCAGCTTTTGGTAATTTCAAATATTACAAAATCAAAGTAGCAGCAGAACTGCATCTTCTGTGATCATGCAGCTTCTCTCAGATTCCCTGAGAGATTCAGTGTCCTGGAGTATCCAGTAAACTTTACTATTTAAAGTGGGTACGTTTTTTTAGGAGGGTGTGACCTATTACATAAGGCTGAATTATTCTCTGACTTCTGTCTTCTTTTCTCTTCCTCTTTTTCTCCTATTGAGGTCGAGTGGGTAATCTCATCAAAGCTTCTGAATTTTTACAGAGTTCCCTTCCACCACACTTCATACACTGATTCCTCCAGGCCAGCCAGCCAACATATGTTGCCCTAATACTTTGCAAGTTTGGTGGCATCTTACAGCTGCTGTAGAACGCGCTGTATTTCCCCGTCTTACTGCTCTCCTGGCAGGACACCAGGCACACACTGCTCCTCTGCTGTTGCATGAATGGCCTAGGGCACGGGCAAGGCAGCAGCGCAGGGCAAAGGGGAACCTCATTAGCAGCTGCAGAAGATGTTAGCAATGAAGAGGTCTGTAAATAACAGTTTAATGACCGGGATAGCAGGGTCGCTAGCAGGCTGCATCAAAGGAAAACATACGGTGATTATAAACAAGATAGATAGGGAGATGAGCCTATCCAAAATCGCAGAAAGAAAAGATCAGGACAGGAGCAAAATTCAATTATAAAACAGACATTAATATGTGCACAGGCCCAACACATAGAGTATAATCACTGACATTTTCCTGTCTTCATGGAACACTTACCCCTGCTTGCTGAGGTGAGAAATGCCTCTCTGAAGCAGTGGTGTGGGTTAACTTCAGCTTACATAACTCATTTAAACAAGGGAAACCTCTTATTCTAAATCTCAGGCTAGAGTCTCAACTTACATTTAATTAGGATTCTTGAAAGAGACTCTTTGGTAAACGTTCCTGTTTAAATGTGTGTGCGTATACACACACACACACACACACACACATACACACAAATGAGGATATATACATTATATCCTCATTATAATGATATATCCTCCTCAAATCATTTATATATATATATATAAATATATATATATATATATATATATAAAATATACTTGTTTTTCCCCACAGTTGTATATTCTTTCCCTCCAGCTCAGTTTCACTTCTCTTGACTCTCAAATACATTGAATCTGTCTTGTTGTTCATTGTTGCATTAAAGAAGGTAAAAGGGCCAAGAGTGCTTTTATGGTACTGGCTATGCTGAGTGCCAAAAGCACTGACAATATCCTGCAGCTTTCTCCAGCAAGTTCTTTTCAAGGTACATTGCACTATATATAGCAGCTATCTTGCATCCACCATGCAGTTCTGCCAGTCATGACACTTCACCAATTAAGTGACTCAATTACCAATTCAGGGTTGCTTTGCTTATCCATATACAGGGAATTAGTTGTCTCACTTCCTTGGCAGCTCCTTTTCTTCGACACCTACTTGGCACCAGTTGTTTTCCAGGCAGTTGCTGACTCATCCCATCATTTTTCCTATTGCATTTTAGGGCTGAGGCCTTAAGAGCTAAAACATATTCTAATTGTAGACCCTGCAAAAGTGCTTTGCACATTGGAGTGCCAAGGGTAGCTTTTAGGGTAGCTTTTCATTTCTTATATAAAACTAGTTTTCCATGAGGGCAGCACACAAGTTAGCAAACATGACTGACAAAGCAACCGAATGGTAGCAATTCTACCTCAGCAGCACCCCTGTCAAAGGCCCCTGTCCCAGCTGGGCTGCTCCGATGCATCCCTGCAGCCACACAATTAGCAGGAGATCAGACGGGAGAACCGGCTGCAAATTCCAGTGCTCCTAGTGCAAAGGCATCTTTTCGCTTTCCACTTTTACAAACTCCAGCGTTTTTCCCACCTCATTTATAATTAAGTAGTAACTATCAGGCTAAAGCAACTCAGATATGCAGTCTTCATTTATATTAGAAAAAAAAAATGAAGCTGACCTTCCTCATATTCCTATGTTCATTCTCCTATAAGACAACTAAAATTCTTACTTGCTATGGGAACGCCATTCGATAACCAACTTATATGAGGCTTTGGGTTGCCATTAGCTCTGCAAATCAACATCCCATCCTCTCCAGGAGACAAGACCAGGTTTCTGGGTGCTGTTATCCAGTATGGGGCAGCTGGGGTTAGGAAGAGAAACACGGCAATCATTTTCCAAAACAGTACACAGAGATATCATATGGAACAGTGTAAAAATATCATAAAACAAAAGAGCATATATAGATACACACTTGCACTTTCATATATGGGTGTATATATGTATATATATACATACATCTGTGATGATACACAAAAATTAAATTGTAAATTTCACCTTGCCTAAACAGAGCTATTGACCTACCCTTACACAGAGAAAGGGTTTACTTCACAATTCTGAGATAAGCAACAAGATTCTTTGCTTTGTTTAAGACTGTTAACCTGCTTTTAATCTGCTTTCCTAAAGAAAACCAACTAGGGCATCTACAGCAGGTAGAGTGGTGCTTTAATTAAATTCAGGTTATCTACTGTATTTAGGCTGACAGAACTGAATGAGGCTAGATTATGCAAATTGCTTTAACAGCAAGAATGAAACTTAGAAATGGCAAAAATCTTGGTCTCTCTGAATTCAATGGATAATTGAGCCAGATTTAGAGCCAGATGCTTATCTGACACAGCTGGAAAACACAGAGGTATCAAAACACGGGAAATATTTTCTTGACCAAAAGGCATTCTCCTACGTCATGACCTTTTGTACAATAAATCACCACAAATAGCCTCTGTTGTCACATGCTGCAATTAAATTTCGGATTTTACACTGATGGATAGATGCAAATAGAAAATTAATCTTCCATTCTTAAAAAGGAGATAGAATCTCCTAGGAGGTAGGACTGGACTAGAGAGAGATTACATTAATAAAAATGTATATTTAACATTCCAAATAAACACAACAGCTGATTATTTAAAAGACTAATTATCTCTCATCCTAAATATTTTCTTTCATGATGTTCAAAACACATACAGGTCACACCTATATCAACATATTGTGTTTTTGGAACTAGTACAATTTCATCGTTGGATAAAAGTGGCAAAAAATAAGAAGGAGGAGATATGACAGAAATAGAGATTAAGGGAGAAAAAGGAAAATGAATATAAGACAATTGACAAATTAGAAAAAATACAGTGGAGAAACAGTAAGTGCTATATTAATGGAGAGCAGAAAGAATGAAGAAAAGGGAGCTGAAGAAGAAAGAAAGGGAGAGATAGAAAAAGAAGGGAGAGCAGCAATCTAATGACAGGCAATCTAAGCACCTAAAGTAAATCTAGGACAGGTACAAGCTAACAAAATATTTCACAACCGTTATAGTAGAGTTTCAATTTAGCTTCTTGCCTGATAAAATGACAAACTAAAAAGACAAATGTGTTAGACACAAAGAAATCCCTCAGATAGTAGAATCAGCTGGCTTAATGATCGTTTCCTCTTTTCTACCATCATCATTCCATTTTGCAGCTACAGTTCATCCTGGAAAGCTTTTCAAATAGAATGTTAATTCTTGTATTAAATGCTATTAAATTAGGGTTTATTACCTTTCACAGTTACGGAAATGACATGATGAGTAGAACCTAGTGTATTTCTTGCGATGCATTTGTAGTTTCCAGAATCAGCCTCAGAAACATCTATGATCTTGAGAGTTTTCTTAAAGTTTTCAAAAAATGTTCTGTTGGCCGGCAGTTCCCCACCCTCTTTAATCCAGCGGATTACTGGTGTGGGTCTGGAGAAGCAAAAACTCGTCATATTTAGGGAACAGGAGAGAAAGAAGACTAAGAGTCTATTCATTATTTAATAAATATTTTAAAAATAATTATATTAGTAGCCTTTATCCAGATTTTGGAGCATGTCCAGCAAATTTGCAAAATATGCCAACATTTGTTTCTAGGAAATGACAAGTCTCACTACCACTGTCAATTGCCATCTGTTTGCAGCCTCAATAATTATGGAATACATTTGTCTGCTGACAATCTAGATCCCCTGGTGGTTTGGTTAACAGAAAACACAAATATAATTCAAACTCTACTGCACTTATACAATCTCTTGTGGTAAACTAAAATGCCCAGTGCCTTAAAAGGCTTCCAAAAAATGACAAGTTTATAATAGTGATTCACTTGAGCAACAGCCTAATTAATGCTCCATGATCATCATAATTTTTACAGCAGAGCTGTTAGCATAGAGAAAGTTTTCCTATGATAATAAAAGAAAATAATGTCAGTGCTTGCTCAGCTATAGTTGCTGTAGTGGTCATATGTACTGTACTGGCTCTAAGTCTTAGCTAACCTCCATGTCCTCCACCGAAGTTGAGAGTTATCCAAACTCATGCAGATAGACTTCTAAAATCTTAACAAAATTCATGTTGTTATTTCCTGAGCAAAATGTTTCTTCTCAAAAACCATGATTCAAGGCACATGTTCCCTCAGAAGTCTAATATTGCATATTCTATAACAGAGATGCTTAGGAAAGCTGAATTTAAACCATGATTTCTATAATTAGGAAGAGTCTCTTTAAACAAATGGAAGAGCTGAATCTGGTGCCTTGTGGGCTTCCTGCACTAAAATATCTGAAAATTACACGAAGGCTAAAGGTACAAAGCTGCTTTGTTCAATATTGCATCTTTTTCCTCCTTATTTATGCAGTCACATTACTGGAGCATGGACCGCTGCATACTTTTACTGCAGAACTATGAATAAAACCAAAACCCAAATGCAAGCTGTGGGTGAAGATTTCCAGAGCTGACTCTACTGGGAACACTGGGAAGTGTGGTGATGCAGGAGTGTGTGATGCAGGGACACCTGCCTTGGCCCCAGCTGAGGGAGGCAATGCGCTCGTGCTGCTATCACACGGGGCCAGCAAAGCCCGAGGGGGCCCCAGGAAGGTTACATGGGTTAAAACACCTGCATGCTGCTCTGCTGCAGCCTTTGCAATCGTGGGCTGGCCTTGCTGCGGCCCCGAGCTCTGCATCACGTGGTGTTATGCACTGTAAACATGTGCACAGTGCTGAAACAGGCACTGAAAGGTTTTAGAGTCCTGCATCAATGCTGTTCACTTCTCTGACTTCCTCTTGAGAACTGAACTGATGTGAGATCAAACTTGCTCATCAAGTCAAACTCATCAAGCAGCAGAGGTGAATATGGAGAGCATCATGAATCACGAACATCACGATCCTGGATGCAAGCAACTGGAGGCCTCTTCTAACAACTCCCACCTAGCTGATCTAATTAGTAATTATTAGCAGACGTGTGAGTCGCTTTTTTTAGATTAGACCAGCATATTATTATCTATTTTAATATAACATGAGGGCCTAATGATGGTTAATTTAAGAGAATTAAACCAGTTGCTTGCTTCAGGCCTTCTGTTTGAGCATGATGACAAAGTTCTCAGCCCAGTTCTGCAGATGGGTGTCCAAGTTAACCCTGTGATGTTTCTTGCTTGTGCCATGAAAAGAAACACTGGCATGGCCTGAATCTGATATACATGGGCCTGGTGAAATGAGAAAGCAGAGGCCATCATATTGACATTCTTAGCTTTAAAACCTACTGATGTCCACATAAATGGCTTTAAATCTGCTCTACTTTACACGTCTGTTGCTGAGGCTGTAATGCTGTCACACTGACACATAGGCACCAAGAATCTCTGAACTGTTTTTCTCTTTTTCTTATTCATTGTTTTTATTTTGTTTATTTGTTTATTAAAGAAACACTGTCTAAAAAGTAACTCACAGTCCTGCTGCAATGCACTCCAACGAAAGCACATTTCCTCTCAGTTCCACTTTGTTACTTGTGCTGCCTGTTGGTGTTAGAAGAATTGGCTGTCTCTCTTTAACTGGTTTGGCTGGAACAAGAGAAAAATAAAATGAGTTTCTAAACTTTAACATTGATCAAATACATACACTCATTCTCACACTTTGGACAGAATTTCACTGCACACTGCATTTAAGTAAAAAACATCAAGTTAGACAACGGCAAAGTTCAGCAAATTAGATTTCTGACAGACATAATAGAATCCCATCTGAACCTGGCATTTTCACAGTATTTTCACAGAATCACAGCGTGATTGAGGTTGGAAATGACCTCTAGAGATCATTTAGTCCAACCCCCCTCCTCAAGCACGGACACCAAAGGAGGAAACCACAGCTGCCCAGTGGGAGGGATTACGAACACATAAATGAAAAATCATATATAAAATAGAAGGAGCATCTGATATAGTTTTTACACAGGCAGCTGTGTGGTCTGATGGGTACACAGAGAGCCCGAATCCTAAGCAGCTCCTATTCACTACACCAGAACTATTCAAAGTGTGAAGGACAACCAATATGAGTCAAACTGCAATCCTGAAAGTTACCCCAAGTCATGGGGATTCCATCAGATCATCAAAAAAGCAAAGTTATTGTATGCAGAAATATAAACCAAAGTGATCAAAGGTATTCTCCACTTGGCACTATGCTTTGTTCATTATTTTCTACACTGGAGAGGATATCTTTTGTTAAGTTTAGTCGCATCTTCTCCACTTCCTATATATTTAGTTCAAATTATTCTGCAGTCCGATAATTACGAACCATTTTCTACAAGAAATAACCATAGTCAACAGACAGCCAGAAATTATTATTCTGTTGGCTGCTGAGACTTCACGTACCTTCATGAAAAACAGAGTAATAGACTGTTCTGTACATCTTCTAATGTTCAATAGCAATTTTATAACAAACAATTAACTTGCTGTACTTGTAATCTAAATCATTACAATAAATTACTTTTACCTTTTAAAAAGGTGTCCGAAACATTTTTCTCTCGTTTCTTACAATATAGTATGTATTGAGATATTAATAAAAAATACATATTTTCATACAGTATGTGCCTTGACTTCCTTAAAAACTAATCCATGAAGGATTCTCTTTGAACTGATGGATAAAAAAAGGCAGTGTAGAGTGAACAACAAGTCAATAGTCAGGGGCACTAACTTATATGTCCATTTTCTGCACTGAAAAGACCACTGACTCACATTATTGGTTTATATACATTTAAAACTCGCTTTGGTATTTCCAAACTGTGAGACAACTGAATTGTTTTCTATCCACTAATGGCAGTTTTTACATCCTACTGGGTTCATGCAAATATTTCTTGTTTGTTCTTGAAGGAAAGATATTTTTATGCTGAAAATTTAAAAGATTCAATGATGTCCCTGATATATTCCATATTTCAGTAAGTCAAGGTTTAATCTACAAAAGGTTTTATCTACAAAACCTCATTTAAGAAGAAAAAAAAAAGTCAATGTGAAACAGTAGCTCTACTCCATTATCTATGTGAAATACTATTAACTTCAACCCTCATGAAATCTGTCTTGCCCCAAAGCAGCATCAATAAACACATGCACACCTGTTGAGGAGGATTCCAGTCACAATATACACAAAAAGATGATTAAACTTAGATTAATGTGAAGATCAGCTCAAACAAACAAATACAGCTATTCTTCCCCTACAAAGTTAATTTTAGACAGTGTTAAAGCACTTAGATTTTAATTCATTCCAGTTTCACACTCATGAAACACGTTAAAAATGAATGGTACATTCAAGATATTATTCAATGTGAAATGCATCTGTTAAATACTTAACTGTTATTACTTAAGATGCAGCATGTGATATTGAATAGTCCTAGTGATAATGAATACATCCAATTACAGTTCAATTGGAGGAAAAATATAAACAAGCAACACATTATGGAAGCAATTTAATAGGCAATTTACAAAATCTGTCCCAGTGTGAAAGGATTCCTTTCTGGTAGATTTTTAAAATTTTTTTTTTTAATGAGCCATGTTACAGTAACATTAAAATATAAAATATTTTAAAGGATCACACTGTGCAGTCCCTTATTATTAGAATGATTATCACCAGCACTAATAGATACCTTCATTAGAGACTGGAAAGGGAGTAAAGGTTAAGTAGCCATGGAGGTGAAGTTAGTTAACTAAATGCTACCGTGAAACAGGGAGTATCAGTGGGGACCAGTGTAACTCACCACCATAAATATCAGTGTCACTCAAATTAGCAGCTATAGTGTCATTCAATGAATCCACTGAAATAAACAGAATATCATGAAGAATGCTTATAAGAGGGATAAATCAAAATACTGGGAATCACAGGGTGATGATAGGGCCATGGTGAGTTAATCAAATGATCAATTAAGTTGTTTCAATAGTTATAACATGAAAACCATTTCAAAACTGTTATGATACTGTAATTTTTCACTAAGTCAAATCTTAAAAACCATTTTTAAAAGAAAAAAGCCTAATAAGGGGAAAAAAATACAATAGCATTTACAATAAATTACATATCAGAAAAAACAGAGATTACATTCTATGTTTAATACAGTAACTTAATTTCTTATTCAGAATTAAAATATCAAAATTTCCTAAGGTAAAACTCTTTAACTGTTGGCAAATAACCAAGAATTCTGGGTAAATACAGTGTTTAGGATGTGATCAGGTTATGCAATACCTACTTGACAGAACCTTTACAGAAATTGGTTGCTTCTGCTGTATGGTTTGTGTATGATTAAATCTTGCATAGCAGATATAGTCCTCACGAGTGTCTTCTGGTTGTACATTAGAAAAATAGAGGTCTCCATTTAGACCTTGGGAAACTCTCTCACTTTGAGGCAACCTTTGGAAAGCTAAGCAAAAACAAGAAAACATTTATTTCAGCTATAACACCCACTCTACTGTTATGATCTGCAGAATCCACATTTGTTCCACTATGCTTTCTGTAATGCCTTATTTCTTTGCAACTTTCCTGTAGTCATTTGGACACTTCTTCTGGAGCACCCTTGTCTTCCCTTTCCTCCCCAGTGTGTAATTCAAAATTCACACTGACATCTCCAGGCAGCTTGGGCTGCAACATGATTGCTTTTTCATTTCTACGTAACAGAAAATACTTTGAATTTTAACTTAGCAGGAAACTCTGCCATCTGTGCTAAGTCTTAATAAGCTCTGAGGAACTGCTTAGAAAAAGAGAGACAAGTATAGTAAGTCTACATTAAAAAAACAAGCTTACCGTTATCCATCCAAAATATTATCGGGGGTGGTAAACCAACGGGAGGTCTGCAGTGTAGCACTAGAGAATCACCTTCTCGAACTTGATTGGGTTCTAGTCTTTCTTTAGTCCACAAAGGGGATCCTACAGAAAATAGTTGTGACAAACACACCAGTTATCGATGGATGAAAATTTCAGAGCAAGCTTTCTTTAAGATATTTTTTACAACAATGATTCACTGGAAGTAACACTTATTTACTCAAATTATTTTGGCTACGGGCTGAAAATACTGCAGCAGTATCTTGCAAAGTTCAAAGTTGGGCAGCACACACAAAAAGTGATGCAAACTAGCAAAAGGAAAGTCAGACCTTCATGAAGTATTGTGATAACTGTTTTAATGAAACATGTGAGAACAATATATTTTATGCTGAGAAACTTGAAAAAGTGATTTGAAATAAAAATGACAAAAATAGCATAGTCGACATGAAAGACTGTTTATCATTAATTAAATTAGCTTCATGTCCCTTTTGGCGCCTATCTGTTCTATATTAAAGCTATTACAAAAACTATGAACTGCGTGCATCAGAAAAAGTAAAAATTATCCTCATCAAAGGTGTGAGTTAAAGATTTAGTTTTCTTTTCCAACTGAAATGCCTTACATACTATCCAATTTTAAACACGGCAGACGTATTGAAAAATAAATCAGGAAAACATTCTGGGTTTTAATATCCAAGGAATTTTGTAGAGAGTATGCCATACTTTATAAATGTATTAAATACAATGCCTTCTAATTTGATCTCTCTGATGATTAAAAATGTGTCTTTTTTTTATGAAAGGTAAAAATAGAGTGATTAAAACAATGTATCCTTAAGAAAATAAGCAAACAGAAGTTTTTCACATGTTAAGAATATTGGAGTTTCACTTACGGGATGGCCTTATGACAATGTTGTTGGAAATGGCCGCTCCCCGTTCGTTCCTCGCTGTACATTGATACACCCCTTCATACGCTTCTGCCTTCCCACCATTCATTATGTTTACGACAAGGGTTCCTGAATTTGGCTTCATTGTTACCAGAGCGTCTTTGTCTATATCAAAATGAGTCCCATTGCGCGTCCATGAGAAGCTGTCATAACAAAGGCAAACATAAAAATTGGGTTTTTTCAGTAGCTTATTGTAGGTCATATGTAGAGAAAACAAAAATTCCTTCTTAGCAGCACACTGAATTTTTTTCTTTAAGTTTATAAATAGTATTTTTTTCTGAAGCTAAAACATCAAACAAAGTAATATAGCACTTTAATATAACAAATCTGGCAACACTTTTAAGATAAATGATTTGGGAGAACTTGGTCATTTCAAAGACAATATTTTTACCTTTAAAAGCACATAAAAAGATTCAAAACAAAATCATCTACTGAAAAGAACTCTTTCTTTTCTACTAAAAATGATACCGTAACATCTGCTATAACTGGTACTGCTCAAGTTGCATTAGCATTTCTGTTCTAAAATGTGTTGTCCAAAGGGTTTATAAGCCTGTATTTAAAAATTTGCTCTGGGCTGAAATGTGTCCCAGCAGGAGAGCACTTCTCTTAATTGGCTTGGTCATTTTTAAGTTACTGAAGTGAATTAAAGACTGGGTGGTGAGTTTGATTTCTTTTCACTACCTCAAAGAACTGTGATCTATTAAATGAAATTTTGCAATCTGATCGTCCATAGCTAAACTAGTGAATTCATGCTGGTGCTACTCAAGGCAAGAGATGTTTTGTAAGAGAGCCACTAAAAATGAAGACTATTAAAACCCATTAAAAAAAAAAGTAGAAAACAGGAATTCACAGTGTGCAACGTCTACTATTGCAAACCCTAATTCCTGCCTTTTATGCTGCTCTTTTGGCTGTTAATGAAGCAGTGCTGAGGTGGAGCAGCGTGTGGAAGTGTTGAGCACTCGGCTGCCCCTGCTCTGGATGGCAGCTTTTGTACTTGTTACGCATCAGGTTGAAGCCCTTCAACACAAACACGGCTGCTGTATGTGATGCTGGCTCCAGTGTTACCTCGAAGGTGACATTTCAGGTGACATGTTGTGCCCCAACCTTCTGCAGGAGCGTGCCGGGCTGGGCACGTCGGTAGGACAGTGGAGAAGCAGGGGGCACTCAGGAGTACCGTGACAGCAGCAGGACGTTGGGGATACAGACACTAGAGCCCTCGGAGCTAGAGGTGTGAACCTGCTTCCTAGGAACTTGCAGGCAAAGTCACAGGGGGGTTTCTGCAACGCTGCAGGAAGGGCAGTACAGCTCCAAGTGAGAGGCACCAAAGAGGGGGTGAAATTTTGAACTTAAGATATCTGGAAGTGAGAATTTTTGCTGCTCACGCTGTACATTACAGCCCATCTGTTAGCTTTTAAGCCAGCTCTCTGCAATTAGAAAGTCACCCTGCTTTGACAAACAACTCATGCTCATTCTGAGGAAAGCTGAACTGCTTTCTCAGGAAAGTTGAACTTCAGAGCTTTGGAGCTGTTCAAATCTCAATATTCATTTGCAGGAACTGATTCAAGACTAATGGACTCTGTTACTTATTGAAATAAATTAGCTGGATGTGATAACTTAAAAACCAAACCAGAGTAATTACAAGTTATTTTCCTCCTGAGAAACTTCTGCACTGAAACCTGCTTCTGTAGCAGGGCAACAGGGTGACAAAAAAGATTTGTTGAGAAGGGTGAGAATGTACAGCAGTAAACCTTGGCATGTGACTAAGTTTCATGGATAATGATTACCAATGAATAGTGATCAAGCAGGGATGTACATTTCTGTTGCAAAGCCTGTGAAACCAGCAGCAGTGGTGGCAATGACAGAATGTGTCCCTCCCACTGCTTTTTCCCAGTTCAGGTACCAAGCAAAAATATTTGGCAATTCCCTATTTCACAGTACTGGAAGTAGGGCTTTCTAATGGAAAGCAGTTGTGAACCATTTTCATGTACACACAGGGTTATCATTTTTTGCAAAACTCTTAAACTCTTCGAAAACTGTAAAAAGTACCTAGTAAATCAAGGCCTATCTATCATTTAAACTGATACATACATCTTAAATCCTTGCAGGATAGTTATATAGTTTAAGATGAACCTCCCAGAATTGACTGATTTAGAAAACATGAAATATACAACAAGAAAAATGGCTAATGACCCAAATTTTATTAGGTTTAGTCTGAATTTATCTACTGTGTGCACTTATGGACACAACACCAAAGACTGGAATGTGATCCCATTCATGGCATCTTTACTAGTGTAATAATATAGTATTTTTATGTCACTGGAGCTCTAGGGAGCAAATAAAGTCTTATCTGATTGATGATACAGAAATGAGACTACAGGCTGAGAAATATTCAAAGCTGCATCATTTTCTAGTAGCCATTTAAGAGACGATGGTGCATTCAATAGAGGATGGGTACAGCACATCTGGGTGCATGCACATCTGCGTACGTGCAAGCACATATCTGTACGTGCAAGCATAAATCTGTTTACAAAAGTTACATTATTTTCTCCTACTTTTGCTATGCTGTTAGGCCAACAAAGGCAAAAATAATGCTACTAACCTTGGCGGTGGCTTTCCTTTGGCTTCACACTGTATTACAATATTCTCTCGAGGGTCAACAATGTAATCTTTTGGAGACTGCTGAGTTATTGTTGGAGGCTGAGATACTTCATTGTGAAATGTAATTAAGAAACAGAGAGGAATTTAATATTTTCAAAGCAAGAGCAGCAGTTTTGTAAGCAGAGAAAGCAGAATTACAACTGGTAACAGAATCAGCCATGGGAGACTGGAATTAAAGTATCCTTTAAGTAGCCTGGCTAGTTCTACCATTTTCAAATAAGAGTTATGTCAATCTATAGCAGATCAAGGTCTGGATGAAAATATTTGAGGAATATCATTTGCTGTACATCAGATTTCAAATGGCTTTCATGAGTCAAAGGACACTTCAATTCTAAGCCCATTATATATTTCAGAATAGGCAGCCATGAGACCTATGTCCATACACAAAGGAGATACTTTTTAACAGGCAGAAATAGCAAAAAATACAATATATATTATTTCTAAATACTGAATGTATTTCCATATTCTCTATGCATGTAAAATTTTGAGAGAGTTATTGTGTTCAACAGAGTGAACTAAACTACAAATTATGCTTCTAGGAGCTACTTTTCAGGAGTAAAAAATTGTGTTTAAATAGTCAATAGAGAGGAAGAAGGAGGTAAGAAAAGAAACAATAATTTAAAGTTTTAAAGAGAATCAACATGTGAGAAAGGTCTAGTACTGATTCTCCTAAAACAAAACAAAAGTCAATTTTCTGCCTTGATCGAGAAGAAATACCCCATAATGAGCAGCATAAAATGAAATCTATCTTCCTGATAAAGTAGATGGTGCTTTCCTGAAGTAATTTATAATCTGCTACCACTACCCATGCACATTTTTTGTATAGAAAAAAGCATTAAGATAGTGATAAACACATCTTCCTGAACCTTGCTAATCTGTTTAAAGTTCAGTGCCAACTACAGGAACCTGCTAAGGGCATCCCCACAACCATCCCTCTGCAAACGCTGCAAACTACGTGCCCCTTTGAGCCACTTGAGTAAAACATTTCCGTCATTAGAGTGCTCTGTTCTCGTGTGGCACTCCTGTCTTGGCCAGTAAAATCTGGAAAACCAGGATTTTGATTTTGAGCATCATTAAACATTAAGCAAGGCCTCTTTGTTACACAGACAGAGGCAACAGTCTGCAAAGCACCTTCCACATGAGGCAGCCAGGAAAAGAACCACCTCACGGAGACGTCACGTTATGTAAGAGCTAAGCAGCCACGCGGATGAAGAGATTTTGCTCTTCATCCTCACTGCAGAGCCGAAAGCGAAGCGGGAGGCAACATCTTTCCAGGACGATGACTTTTTGTGCTCTTTCCGAGGCTCCCTGGCATTTCCTCCCTCCCAGAGGCGGCTCCCGGGATCAGCAGTGGCTGTCTCAGAATAGCAGCACCCTCTGGAAAGGGACCGAGCAGCCGGCCTGCCTGCAGCCCTGCCCCGGCCGCTGCACGACTGCCACGCTGGCCCAGCTCTTTTAGCAGATCCCCTAGCAGATCAGGTTGGCTTAACTAAATCCATTATATTTTTTAAAGGAAATAACAGAAATTCCAACTCAGACATGAAAAATAAGTATGTTTACTCCTGAAAGTAGTAGTAAAACACTGCTCATGCAGATATCGAATATGGATTTTAACGTTCAGACAGCATACAATTGCAAACCATACAAAATTCATTCCTTTAAATACTAGAATGATTTATGTACAGTTATATTTTCTGCATGCACAAAACATTTAGCCACAGCAAACCAAGTTACGGACAAAATATCACACATTTTGAATTGTGAATTTAATTTGTAACACAATCAGTATTACTTTTCAGCCTCACACAGTCTAATTTTGGTGGATAGGAACTTACGTTCTTCTAGAAGTTTTGCTTTTATTCCCCCATCAGAAACAGCAGGTGAATGGGCAAATGGAGATTAAAGAGAAACACTTGTTAGTAAAAAGAAAATTAGCATTTTTGAGAGGGAAGATATGTGTCCCTGGAAAGTACATTCGTCACCATTAAAAAGTGTACCATTACCACTGTGGCCCATGTAGTGATTCCTGAAATTCCAATGATTTCCATTGGGTCAGAAATATTACATTTATTGCAAATTTCAGGCTGCGAGAAACTTCTCCGAAACACTGACTTTTTAAGGGCAACCAGGGTATGTGGCTTTGGCCCCACAAGGACAAGAAGCCCTGACAAGGAGGAGACAGGGAATCAGAATGAATGGAGGGCACTGCCCTCGTGCTGCAGCCAAAATCAATCTACCCAAACGACCATATGGAAGAACAAAGGGAATGCTGCGGGCTAAAATTACTCTAACAAAGACAAACTCATCTAATTCCATTCAACAGACATCCAATTACTTTTTATTTGAAAAATAACTAAAAAGGAAAATTAATCTGTGCAGTCACATATTTAATGCTTACTTTAACCATTTTGCATAAATGGCCCCTCACCAGCGACAGTACAGAGCGGATCAAGCTGCTTTAAGTCAGCTACACTTTGGGTCACAGCTTGCATGCTCTCGGACACTGAAATGTGTAAGAGCTGCTGACCTGAAGGAAACTGAAGGCTCCAGTCATACAGGATTTTATCACTGTGCGTGTGTAGGGACAAGCTACGAGCTACTGAAATATACAGCCCTGTTGTTCCTTTGTCGTGCTTTCCCAGGAGCCATTCCAGCTATTATTTATTAAAAGAATAATATAATTACAGATATAATGTCAGTTACTATGATCTTTGGCTACATATCCATGTATCTAACCAGATCTAACACAGTTATTGGTATCATACAGCAGGTAACATTGAAAGTTAACATGACATATATAAAAGGGTTCTTCTTTTTGGTCTGTTGATGCATTGCTGATTAATCTAGCTTGAAATGCTGCTCTGTGCACAAACTACCACAATAATGAACAATTTATACACACTCCTAAACTATAAGGCTGCAAGAGTACTTAGGGAGCAAAAATAAGATGAGAAAATAAGGCTTTTGTTCATCATGCTTTTAAAGCAATCTATAAGCCACAGCTTACTATTTTAAAGGCATTCACAGTACTACAAGTCCAATGTCATTTAGATATATTGATCTTCCTACAGAAAAAGAGGTCAATGGTTTGAAAGGCTTAGAAAAACATGCAGGAAAAAAAATCCAAAGTGGCTGAAAGCTATGTTATTAAAGAGAAACATGCATTTATGATAGAACGGACCAAATATATGGGGGTAAAGAAAGCCATGCAGATTAGAATCACAGGTGAATTTACTGATGCATTAATCCATCAATTTAACAGCAGACCTGATATTCTCTTCTCTTGCAATTAGTTTTACAAATGAATAGTCAATGTGAGGTGGAACATGGCTCACTGAATTCTAAAATTGCGATCATGCTTATTTGAAAATGAAAAGAAAATCTGAAGCATGAATAAATTCATAAAAACAGCTATCACAGGCATATACAATGACAAATTACAGTATCTGAAATGGTATTTCTGTAGATTTTAAGTCTATCTATCCCATGAGCTATCTAACTCTACCTGCCTATAAGTGCAACTAATGTTGCCTGATTGGCTATGACTAGGGACAGTCTTGTGGTGTCAAAAAAACAAAAGCCCAAACCTTCTCTATCCTTCATTTTGATCAACTAAAGTGTTCAAGAGAGGCATACAAAAGTGTGATGTATTTCTCAGAATCCCTCGTTAACCTTTTTCAAGTGAATATTGATATGTGAGATATAGAGCTTTTGAAAATCTTCAATTTAAATATTCATGATCATATTCATAATCACACTGTCTTGATCAAAGTGGGCCAAGATGTTAAAGATGTTCCATGTGTAGTTCCGTGTTGGAGTTATCTTCATCTTCCTATTTATAAACTATACAACTCATCTTCCATTACTATGCCCTTATTCAGCAGCTAATACTTACAGTCTAGAGGTACATCCAGTGCAGAAATCATTTGGCACAGAAAGAGAACCAAGGAAGCTTTGCTTGCAGATGTGCTCTTCTTTCTCATCATGATTTTAGGCTGTATCAAGTAACTCACTGGAAGAAGGAGGTCCAACTTCATCAGACTAGTGGCTTGAAATAGTTGTGTAAAGAAACCTGGCAAATAAAAATACGAGAACATCAACACAGAAACAATAGGAGACTCAAATGACGACGTCTTTTGTCACATCTAGCCCTGCAAATTGAAATCTCATTAGCTAGCACCATACAACCAAATCTCATTAGCTAGCACCATACAACCAAACAAGAGGTTGTAGAAATCAAGTTCAAGGGAGATCTCTTCTTTGAGATGCTCTATATTTTCCTACTCAAGCAAGTATGAGGGAGCGTATCAAACCAAGGTAGAAGAATGATTCTGACACTGTCTTTATTTTTGCCGCATTTAGGACCAAAAAGAATGTTGAAGGAATAAAAACCAGCTGCCTATGACTGCCATCATCACTGCTGGTGACCTACAGGGAGCTGTATGAATGTAGCTTTAGAAATCCGAGGTACAAATCTCCTATTCTTATAGAGCACATCCTTAGTAATTGGGCAACAGCTGAGGAACCTCTTTCCAGCTGCCAAGATGACCGGAAAGTTCACAGTGATCATCAGCATTTCCTAAGCCATACATACAAACACAGAACCCAATGCTATAGAAGTTCACAAGGAATGAAAGTTGCCAAGAAGCAACTGACTTAGGTTAACTGAAGACTACTTGTATTTCCTATGGCAACTTAAGCTAATCTGTGCCAAGAATTTGCCTTAATATTGAGGTTTAAGGTTAACCTGCTTCTCTAAATAGGCTACCACACACCACAAAGAAACAACCAAGTATCCCACAGGGCAGATAAGAGAGATGACAAAATCCATCAGAAGAGACAGTGCACGAGTTTGAGCTTTCATATAGTTATCTGATAGTTATTTGCACAACATGCACCTGTATGAAGGGATGAGCTGCTGAGCCTAACTCAAAAATCCCCAGCAGGCGGTTAAGGCACAGAGCAGGAAAGCACAGTAAGGGGATTTGGGTTCTCTTAGTCAGGAAAAGAAAGTGAACTTGCCTTTTCTATGTTTTAATGGTGCACCTTAAATCACATCAGTGAACTCCAGCCCGCTCCTCCACTTCCCCTCAGTTTGGCAGTGAAACCAAACTAAGGAAGCCAGAAAGCCCACTCAGGCAGCGTGCTGGGAGGGATCTAGGCAGGCAGGAGAAATGCTGCTCCCACCCCCTTTTAGGCACATGAACCAGCAGGTTAGTTCCCAGCAATTCCTCTGTTGTTAGCAAAGATGCCCAGAAAGGCTTCTCTGGAGCACGGTTTAAAGAACTCGCATTGTTTCCGGCATTGAGGAGCTCTTCTTGGAGCTGGTTTCACTCCTCTCCCTGTAACTGCCTGCTCTCCTTTTGTTAGGCCAGGTTGGCACAAACCACTCTCTTGATGTCCACACAGGCTTCTCTTTTACGACCCCACTGCCGTGACCTGCGTATGCGAATGCCGAGGAGCTGCTCCTCTGAACAACAGGCCTAACTCAGAATTTGCAGGACGGGCTCTGAAGGAGTCTACAAGTGAACCTTGACTTTTATTGCTTCTTCTCCAAGGAAAACCTTGGTTCTATTTAAGAAAATGCTGAGAACCTTAGTCACTTTATTGGCTTGTTCTTTCATCATGTAAAATGAGTATTATATCCTAGTGCAGTGATTTGAGAGTATTTTAAAACTAAATTGTATTGCCTTTGAACAAGTACAAATGGATACCCACAAGAAGTGGTCAATCAGGCTCACACATGTGCAATTAAAATGATTGGTAAAATAATACCCTTGAGAAAACACTTCCCATTGTATTGCTCTCCTATTTCAGGTACTTACTTAGTCTGATGCTCTGATGTCTGGATATAATATGGGAATGTAGGAGGCAATGGGAATTTTAAAGCTGAGCTGGCACATTGACTTTGTCATTCTTCATAGAGACAAAGTGCCCAAATGTTTTGTGATGGAACATATTTAACTGAAAATGATTATAAGTTTGTCAGCACAATTGGATGCTCTTTCTGAACATACTCGAGATTAAATCTGACATAATTTAGCATGAATACAAAAGCTGCTGACTAGAACGAAACGCTGCTGTGACACAGTATCATCCAAAGGCAGATCAATGCATCAGCCTCAATTGCAGCACTCACAATACCTGTACAACAGACTGCCTTTTCTTACAGATCATTTGTCTACCCTCTCATAACACGGCCACTTTGTCCTACTTTTTTCCATAGAAAAACAAAGAGATTTTGACAGTTCATTCTGGGGACTATTCACTGATTTATACAAAATTCTACATACCTACGTGCCTCTTACTTAAGTAATAAAATATCACTTAACTATGTGTCTCCTATGCTTCCTGCTGAAATGTTAATTAGTGAGTAAAAACACAGAGGTCAAAGGACAAAGTGATGATTTAATAAATAAAAGCCAAGGTAAATATGAATGCATGAGTGAAGTATAATAATATACTATCAGAAAATATAACATCTAATCTCAGACGATGGGCATTCTATATACTAGTTATGGATCAAGTGAGGGACATCTGCTTTATTTTCCTCTCTTTTGCCTAAGGATATATTTATGTGTCACAGACGAGCTAAAGAAAGACATAACTATAGGAGTGAAACGTCCAGTGAGCCCGAGGTAGAACATTTGGCAGAGTCACAGCACCTGGTTCGATGCCAGTGATGCCTTTCACAGGCATCCATTCACGGTGACTCAGAGATGTCTGGACACTTTGAGTCAGAAGAAAAGAAGAGAATGACGAAAACAGATACTCTGAAGGCAGAGAAGGAGCCAAAAAAACAGCCCGCATGCAGGAGGGTGGCAGAATGAGAGGGCTTTCTGTGCCAGACATCGCATGGGCCGGGTGGCCTCTCCTGAGGGAGGGATGAAGGAATTCTCGTCCACCCTCCTGACACAGGGCGTCCGCCACCCCGCGCACTGTGTCCCAAGTCCCCCTCTGGGCACCGTCTGCAAGGACTGCAATTTGCCCAGGCCAAGACCTGCCAGGGAGAGGGTAATATATGGTGTATATGTTTACATACACACGTTTCACTGACCTTGCCATGCTTACTGACTTGCCGTACACGCAGCATTACTGCTTCGGCTCCAACACTGCGCTCCAGCCTTATGGGTCACTTCTTTCTATGAAACTGAGCGAATTTCCTGCCTCTCTTCTCTCCTTCCCAGTTTCCAAGCATAGCCTGTTAGCTTCCTTCTTCCCAGCCACGAGTCATATTTTTCAATATTTAAAAATAAAAATGAGTCTCACTTATTCAGCTTGATTTCTCTTTACGTCTGTCCTGTCTTCAGTTATTGCTGTTCTGCCAATCTTCAGATTTTCAGCTAGTTTCAAAGTGTAAAATTACAGCTGATAGATTCAGCAGTGAAAATGCTAAATCACATTGGGTTTTACATCATTCCTCGTGAGAGCATCACTGGAAAACCACCTAGTGACTGATATTTCTCTATTGACAATCATATATTGATACCTGCTAGCTAGCTTGTTATTCCTTCAAGCCTGCTCTGTTACATTATAGAGTTGGATTTATGTATTTGTTAATCAGTGCCGTGTGGTACTAAGTCAAATGCTTCCCAAATGTCTATTGCATCAACAGTGTCATCAAACATGTAATTTTAGCAAATACTAAAAGATTAAAATCAAGTTTGTTTTACAAGCCCTACTCTCCATAAAACTATGTTGACTGGAATTAATTTCATTCACGGCCTTTAATTCTCCACCAACTGTGTCCTCAATCAGCTTTTTCCATATGTTCACTGTGATTTATATCAGCCTATATTTAACCTGCTCAATCTGCTCGTCTGCTCGGATTCTGGGCAGATCATCAGCTCTCTTTCGGTCTCAGGGAATGGACTAAAAATGAAAACCAGAGAACTAGAAATTTCCCCCACCAGCTCTTTTGGAACTCATAGGTAGACTTATCTTCTCTAGACGTGCTAATTTAAAAATACGCATTTCCAACACAATTTTTTAAGTATTCCTAAATGGTTACTGAGAAAGCTCTTCAATCTAACCTAATATATCATGCTTTTTTTTCTTTCTAAATGTATCATCTTACTTGTAATAATTAAAACCAAGAGTAAATGAAGAAAAGGTTAATGACGTAGCACACGGCAGTGCTATTCCCCTTGGTGTTCTTAAGACTCATCCCTGTAAAATAAAGCAAACACTTGTCTACTCATGTCCTTGGTGGCCATGGCTGACACATCTGCCATTAGTACAGGAGCCTCTTCACGCACGGAGCAGGACTTACCACGTACTGATGGTGCTGAGCACCACGGCCTCTAATGCCAAATCACTGAACTGCTATTAGACTGGCTTCAGTAAAAGCCCGTTGTGCTGAAGTGCCCTTGTTCGTGGCCGCCTGATGCCTCCCAGCTGATACCACCTCGCTCGAGGTGGAGCCGCCCAGCCCAGCGCGGCCTCACCGGCTCCGAGGAGCGTGGAGGTTCCTACCAAAGCAGAGTCCGCAAAGGATCCAAAGTCCCGGAACAGCCTTTTGTTAGGGCTTTCTTATGAAGGGTTTATTACTTGTTTCTTTCCACAGGCTTTTCCACACTTACCAAAAAAGCAACCAGGTCTCATCTTGTTCTCTGTATTTTTGTGTGTGTTTTAAATATTTTCTTCTCTTCAACTACATCTGCTGTTTTTCTTTTGAGAGTCTTAAGTGTTGTTCCTCCTTGAATGCAGTAAAATTTGATAGCTGCTGCCTGCAGCTTATTGGTAAATTATTATGAGCACTGGACAGAGACCCCTGCTTCATATGCTGCTTCCTCCCCGCCCCCCCCCAAAAAAAAAAAAAGGATATTAGTCCTTAAAATGTCTACACGACAAATTTTTCTTTCAAGTGACTCCTCTACAAGTCCCAGTGTCCTTGCCTAGAAATGCTCAGAAGTGCAAAATAAGAAACACGAAGTGCAGTCTCATTAAGGATTACTGCAAGCAGGTAAGATGGGTCATGACAGATTCAAATCCTCTCTTGAGAGCAGCCGCTTACAGATGATTTTTAGAAGACTGGGGCAGGGTTTATCTTTCCTCTTCCAGTTGGCTCAC